AGATTTTAAATGCCTCATATTCTGAGCAATGTCTACCCGCAGCTTGGAAGACGGCAGACGTGTCAGCAATACCAAAAATTAAACCAGTACGGAATCTTAAGAAAGATTTAAGACCTATCTCGTTAACGCCATCTGTTTCTAAAGTCGCGGAAGAACTATTGGTTGAGAAATACGTTAAACCAGCTATTTTAAATGTACTTGATACTAATCAATATGGAGCCATCCCAAAATCCTCCACAACAATGGCAATAATTGACATGTTACATACTTGGTGCCTAGCTACTGATGGAAATGGATCAACAATTAGAACTATAATAGTATACTATCGCAAAGCATTTGATCTTATTGACTATGGTATACTTATTGGCAAATTATGTAACCTAGATCTCCCAAATAGTGTGATAAACTGGATTATTGACTTTTTAACTTCTGAATGGGGCACATGGTTCCTTCTGGAGTTCCACAAGGAACCAAGTTGGGGCCATGGCTCCTTCATCCTGCAGATGATAAACGACTTAGATATTGAAAATCACGGAATCTGGAAATATGTTGATGACACGACAACGTCAGAGATTGTTTATAAAGATGCAGCCAGTGACGCTCAGAATATGGCAAATAAAGTTATGTCCTGGTCTTCCGAGAATATAGTTCAATTGAACCCGGACAAATGTAAAGAATTGAGAACCTCTTTCTCTAATCAACCCCGTGCCTTCTATCCTGTAGTGGTCGATGGAAAGGAGTTATATGTATTTGATACCGTCGAACGTTTGGGAGTTACTCTTACAAACCAACTAACATGGAATCCCCATATTGAAAAGGTCATAAAGAAAGCTAGCAAAAGACTATATTTTCTAGTCCAACTAAAACGAGCAAAGCTACCTATTGAAGCCTTAGTGCTGTTTTATATGACTTGTATCAGATATGTAATTGATTATGCAATACCTGCGTTCTATTGTTCTCTCCCACAGTACCTAAAATCCGAACTAGTGCGATTGGAAAAAAGAGCACTGTCCATCATCACCCCAGGACAGGATTACCAAACAGCTACGAAAATTTTGAATGTAAAACCGTTGCAAGATTACCACGAACACCTGTGTGAAAAACTCTTTAAAGCAGCTATCTCGGATCCAACTCATAAGATTGGAAAACTGTTACCAACAAGAAATGAAGCGAACTATGATTTAAGAAATAAACGAACGTTTAACGTTCTTCGGGCTCGTACTAATAGATTGAAGAATACTTTTATTTTAGCAAAGTGCAACTCACTTCAAAACTATAATTTTCCAAATACTAGCTGATAATTTTTAATGATAATTTTCATATTAATTAAATAATTGGTTATTTAGTAACTTTGAAACCACTTGTAATATAGTTATATAATCGTTTAGAATCAAACATGTAAATAATTACGTAATTCAGCCTTATGGCTGCGAAGTAATTTTAATAAATCTATCTATCTATCTATCTATCTATCTATCTATCTATCTATCTATCTATCTATCTATCTATCTATCTATCTATCTATCTATCTATCTATCTATCTATCTATCTATCTATCTATCTATCTATCTATCTATCTATCCATCTATCTATCTATCTATCTATCTATCTATCTATCTATCTATCTATCTATCTATCTATCTATCTATCTATCTATCGAAATGTTTTAAATGCTCAACGCAAGAGATCCGGAAGTTGCTCACAGTGTATATATAGGACATTGCATCAACAAGTAGATATAAGATAGGAATATATATGAGTAGATTAGGTGGAAGAGGGTTGCTATGTGCGGAAAGATCGTGTAGATCGGGAGGGTACAAAAGCTGGACCCACCTCATCTCGTCCCCATCTGGACCCCTTTCTGGACCCCTTTCTGGACCCCCATCTGGACCCCTTCAGGATCTCTCAGAATAAAGAAATAAATTCAAAATAGTGATTAAAATATTTATTTGGTATAAATTATCAGACGATTTTCATAAATAATAGATTTTAATTTATGGAAGTAGTTGGGCCTAGTTGTAAAAGTAGTCTTTTGTGGAATTAGTCTACCTAGTTGAGAAGTAGTCTTTATGGCGCCAGTTTTAGGCAATTCACTAAGTTTTTATAATAAGTCAAAGGAATAGTTTCGGCCATGTCAGGGTAGGGCATATTTTGAGCACAGAATAAGGATCATTAACAGAAGGGCCACTCAACGATGCAACGTGTCCCGTGTTTTTTTATGCAAAAATATTCAGTTTATTGGCCAGAAGGCGGAGCAGCCAGCCAGTTCAGCGTGTTTATTGGCCAGAAAATGTCATTGACTGGCTAGGAAAATGGCGGCCAACATGCGTAATGTGACATGCGCGAGGACAGAAACTTCAAAGCTTCCGACGTAAGTGGCCCTTCTATATGGATCTTTATTCTGTGATTTTGAGTTAGGGTTAGGGATAGACAGCATCATGTTTAGAATTTGTTATTGTTATTATTGTGGGTCCACTATCTCCTTGCAATATGAAGTAATAGCAAACACACCCTAAACCTCCAACTATAAGCCCTGGGCTTATATACTTTCGTAAGCGATTTTTGATGGGCTTATAACAAGGTGGGGGGGGGGGAGGGGCTTATATTCGGAGGGAGGCTTTATACATGGTGACTTGCCTAACCTATTCATTGCACAAAAGACTACTTTGCAACTAGGCCCAACTTCCATAAATTATAAAATCTATTATTTATGAAAATCGTATTATTATTTATATCATATATCCATTTTAATTTCTATTTTGAATTTATTTTATATTCTAAGAGGTCTTGAAGGGGTCCAGAAAGGGGTCCAGAAAGGGGTCCAGATGGGGGTCCAGAAAGGGGTCCAAATGAGGGGGTCCAGCTTTTGTACCCTCCCGTGTTGATCTGGCCCAATGCGATAATTTGGCAAAGTACATCGAGCAAAGCAACGATAAACTATACTCCCAGCTGTACAAGAGGAAGGCATGTTGAAAGAACTAGCACAAACCGATTTAAAAAGATAGATTGAAATTAATATCGGTCAAAGCCACTGCAAGCATGCATGGACAATTTGAGAGAGCACTGAAGAGGATCGAAGTGCGTACGTTTCACATTTGCAATTCGATAAAATCCTTATACACCCTACAAATGTTTCACAACCTTCCTGAATACATATCAATTAAAAAGTGCCCTTTTCCCTCTTGACGGAAAGGAGTCAGTAGGATTTAGCTCTCTTCCCGATTATCATTCAATTGAAGCACCTATGGAAACTAGAGAAAACTTGCGCAGGCTATGTAGACACTGCACGTACTCTCGAAATACAACAAAGTAAAAAGACTTTCTCAGAGGCCCTGAATGGGCTAAGATATAAGATTTGCATATGTTTGGGTTAATGGGAGTGGGAATGAGAGACACAAAAATAAGAATGGGAATATTTCATTATAAAAACAGTTGAAGCTTAGCAACATACTGTATGAGGCCATTGATTTATTTCTGGGCCTTACTGTGCGCGGCAATGTTTGTTATAAATTTTGCTTAATGGATACTTGATTACTGGTAGCAATATGGTTACAGAAATTTCGAAATTGATTGGAACATTTATACTGATTTGCATGCGCACCATGCCGGTAAAGTAGGCTTTCGTTAACACTTAAGTAGGCTTTCGTTTTGACAATTTTTTTGATAAAGTTGTAAACCTCTTTAACGTTTCTGAGAAGAATTTTGGATTTAAATTTTAGCTAACTTGGGCTTAGCGAAAACAGTTCTCGATCTCTATCATTTGAATAACGGACGAATTTGCGATTGCAGTTCTTGTAAAAAATGCAAAATGTCCCCCCCCCATTCCCTGCTCAGGCAGCTGCCCCCGTGGTTCTGGCGCTTCCAACTTTAGCATTTTCAACTTTTACATTTTCAACTTTTACATTTCCAACTTTTATATTTTCAACTTTTACATTTTCAACTTTTGCATTTTCAACTTTTACATTTTCAACTTTTATATTTCAACTTTTACATTTTCAACTTTTACATTTTCTACTTTTACATTTTCTACTTTTATATTTTCAACTTTTATATTTTCAACTTTTACATTTTCAACTTTTGCATTTTCAACTTTTATATTTTCAACTTTTATATTTTGAACTTTTGCTTTTTAACTTTTATATTTTCAACTTTTACATTTTCAACTTTTACATTTTCAACTTTTACATTTTCAACTTTTACATTTTCAACTTTTACATTTTCAACTTTTACATTTTCAACTTTTACATTTTCACATTAATCAATATTAGTATAATCACATAGGTCATTATTGAAAATTCTCCACGCTGATTGGTTGCCGTTGAGGTGATTATTACGCGATTTTAGCCGTGGCACAAAATACAGATCAGTCCCAGAAAGGCCACTCAACGGTGCAAGGTGTAGCCATTTTTTATGCAAAAATATGCATTCGACTGGCCAGAAGGCTGGGCATCAAGCCAATACAGCGCGTTTATTGGCCAGAAAATGTAATCGACTAGCTAGGAAGATGGCGGCCACCGCCACAGAAACTTCAAAGCTTCCGACGTATATGGGCCCTTTTGTGTGGATATTTATTCTGTGGCCGTGGGGTGTTGTACGACAAATTCGTGGCAACCCCCCTGGAGAATAGATTTTCTGTGGTTCAATGCATAGTACCATAGATGTTCAATTACCAAACAAAAGTTCCCAACAAAAAAAAAAACAACGTGCCCAATTATACATGTCATTTTTATTGTAATTTACTGTAAAATTTCTCATTTGTTTGCTGTAATATGAATTTAATTGAGGATAATCATTGATCACTCATTCTCTCGGCAATGGACAAGCCTTGCTTGGGAACTGTTTTGGTAGTAATGTACCTAAATTCTATTCAAATATATAAATCACAAATCAAGTAATTCCTACATGACATGGGTGCCACGAAGCGAAATGATTTTGGCTAACAAAGCCCACGGCCTATTTATTCGTGTCAGCTTGCAAACTGCTCAGAACAATCTCCCTATCAAAATTGCAAATATTGTAGGACAATATTGCAATGTTGCTCGCAAGAGAACATCCGGTTTGGCTTAAATACAGTACTCAGTAGACACAGTAGTCTCGTCGTGATCGTTGCAGCCCTTAACTGCACCACAATATAATTTAACAATTAAGTTAATTAACATGTAAACAAATAACTTTAAAAGAATTGAGGAGCGGGATAGAGCGAGAAAAATATATATAGTTTATAACCAAGTCGACTTAGAATAAAGTCGCTGTAATCTGTAGTATATATACCGTCTATATAATGTACAATCTTCCTATCAAAATTGCAATATTGTAGGACAATGTTGCTCACAAGAGAACATCCGGTTTGACTTAAATACAGTAGACACCTAAGTAGTCTCATCGTGATCGTTGCAGCCCTTAAACTGCACCACAATATAATTTAGCAATTAAGTTAATTAACATGTAAACAAATAACTTTGAAAGAATTGAGGAGCGGAATAGAGCGAGGAAAATATATAGTTTATAACCAAGTCGACTTCGAATAAAGTCGCTGTATTATCTGTAGTATGCTGTCTAAATAATGTACAGTCTGTGCCAATATATAAACTATAACAGCGAATAACTTTATAAAAAATATTGTATGAAAGTTACAACACTATACAAAATATAAAAATACGAAAACACGAAAATACGAGAATACGAAAACACGAAAATACGAAAACATGGAAATGCAAAAGTTGAAAATGCGGAAACATGGAAATGCAAAATGTATTTCATAATGTCGCGTCTGGGCCACCGTAATTTCGTGACTGAATAGAATTTATTTTGTCAAGCCATGTAATTAATTTTGAAATTGCTGTGACTTTATGTAACCCTTCTGCTGGAATTGAGCCTAAACCCTAAAGCACCAACCCATCCCCAACAATAAAATTACATCTTACTGTCAATTTCAATTTGTCTTTGAAATCTGACCACCAATGTTTATTTGTAAGTTCGGAATGTATGTTGTAAAGTTCGACTGCAGTTCGTTTTAAAGTTGGTTCTGTGAAAATCGGGCTGAGTTGAATTTAAATGGTTCTTATTTCTAGTCAAAATATGGGTATCAAATAATGTACCTGCATGCCATTATAAATGCTTCTCCCTTTAACTTAATAATAGTGTTCATGCATACTAAAAAACCAAACATGGTGAATTATACTACAGGTATATACAATAAATGTACCAGCCAGGGTGTTAAAACTAGCTTGTCCAAAAAATACTGTGGGTGACGTGTGGCAACTTACATGGTGCTTGAAATGAATTGTCACATGCTGACAATTCAGCATCTTTTCAACAAAAATTATCGAAACATATGAAGTAGATAATGTAAACAGCAGCTGACAACTTTTGAGGTATTCAAGAAATATCACAAAGCTTGCAAGTTGCTGTTTAATAAAGAAAACAATTTCTTAGGTCATCCATGGCCATCTAGTTAAAAAGTGGCTGACGTCTAATTTCAAGAGTGGCTGGTGCGAAATGTACACTACTATAACAAACATAATTTAATTATTAATGTCAATAAATTTGAACAAATATACTCAAGCATTAAATAAATATGATACAGTACATGTATGCAGGAATGGATCCAGCATGATCTGGTAGGGGGGGGGGGTGCTCTGGTGCTGACTGCCGAATTGTGTCGATCATGTGTGCCGCCCACCCATCAACTGCTGTATTTGAATTGTAATTGTTGTTCACAGTTCACTTATCATCATGTTATTACTCAAATTATTATATCTCATTTTGTCTTTTTTGCTTTATCATAAAAAATAGCATCCCACTGCACCCCCTCTGGCCAGGGCTAGGGGGGTGCACCCCCCCAGTAAATCCATCCATGCATGTATGTGCACTTTCTATATTGTGCTCAGGTATTTGGTGGAGCATGTTGTTGGCCACGTTGAGGGATCACAGCTCAATTTGTATTCACCAATAACTTTCAGAAAGACATCGTAAAGGACAAGAGATACTATAATCTATACTAGTAATCCATGCTAAAATGTCTTCATTCTTCAACATCGTCAGTTGGCCCTGCCCTTGGATGTTCAGGAAGAAGCCCTTTTTCAATTCTATATCGACATCTGAACTGCTGTAATTAAAAGGGAACATAAAATTTTTCACTGAGAGAAAATCTGATCACTTTATAATGTGCTGTTCTTTTAAAATCGTCTCTACCACCAGACAATTTCACTTGCCAAGGAGATAGGCATGCATGTCAAGGAGATGGGCATGCAGGCTAGTAATACCAGCCCAGATATAAAATCTGTAAAAAACAGGCAAATAACTCCTAAGTCTTCTAAATAGTCTTTCAAAAGTAATTTAACACTTACTGTAGAGAAAAATTATCCTAATATTGGGGGACTTTCAAAATTCATTGTGAAAACCAAGCTTTGGTGGCGCAATATCTTCCCCAGATATTAGACGCCATTTTGGCAAAGGTTGAATTGAGTATGGTCACTTCAATGCCAAATATCTCGAAAACTGCCGGGGGATCCCTCCAGCAGATTTTTAGTTTAGACATTTGTCTTGACTTTTTTACAAAAATTACGAAAATCGAACCATGGGAATTCCAGATTTTTTAGTTTGAAAATTGTAAACAGACTTGGACTTGAGTCATCACGTTGCCACGGCATGACCAACTTTAATCATCAAAAACAGGTTAAAAAATAATGTTTACCTCAGAAATTCTTGCACATATCGCCAGTCCTTTTATAATACTAAGGTAATGGTTGCATTTTGATAGAAAAATTTAATATTTATATATATTTTTTGAGTTCTTCTGTGTCCAATGCAAATTTGACGGCCAAAAATCTTCGCAAACACGATGGGAAAATAGCGCGATTTCATTGGTCGAGATTTTCATGTGACAGCTGTCCAACCTCCTCTGAGCCAAGACAGTAAATTCATCTTTTAAGTTTGAGGTTAACATTTGTGGTATAAATTTTACACATGGATCCTGATACGTATTATTTCTATTTTTATAATATGAATTTTAATGCACATGCCCTTGAAAAAAATTCTGCATATTTTTACCTGGACCACCCTTATGATTGCACTTAACTTTCGATGACCCACCCCTTCAACCATGCTCAAAAATAGTGACCCACCCCCCTATTTTTCCCAGCCCACCCCCGCTTTTACTTTATGACCAGTCCCTTACCTAGTTTGTCATGCATTAAATGCAGTATTTATGCAAATTAAAATACTTAATCAGCTTGCCTTTGATACGTCGGCCAGTTTGAATAGTAGCTTCGACTTCAGGGTGATGTTGACTTGTTATTGCCATGTCGCTCCTCATTGTAATTGAATAGTTGGTAAATAAGTCATTTAAAGAAAAGGTGCTTGAAAGAAGTCTGATCGAAATGTTTTGGTGTGCATTTTTTAGCATTTGCATTTCCCAGGAAGCGTTGCTTCACTTTGAATCACCTCCCTGTCAGTCTTATGAATAATATATTAAATATGTAAAGTGCAGATGCAGTGCAAGCAGTCTGGGTACCATGAATATAAATGCCAAAACATGTGCATTTATCCTCTTCTTTTTGTGGCATGCTTCGGTCAACCACACAGTAATTTTTTTATTGAACAAGTTGAAATAAATAAAGATGTCAGATGATTCTCAGTCAAATGTAAGTAGAATATACGTTTAAACTGTGTTTATTTGATTGTTTTAATCGTTATTCAAGCCATATATTTTGAGATAGGATATGCCATATGTTTGCCTATTTAAGGTACAAGTCAATGACTGCCTTCTATTTCTGTTGCCTTGTAGAGCAACGTTAATCCAGACGTCCCAATCAACCAGGTGGGCATTGAACCAGGGGGAAAGTATAAATCGAGTGCAAATCGAGAAAAATGGGGCTGAAACTGTGGTAAAGAATATGCCAATTATGCTCACCTCTTTTCTGACTTCTACAGGTTTTCAACCCCAGCAAATTGTAAACCAGGCTCCCCAACCAGAACGGGAGGCCACACCTGAAACATCTCCACCTCCTTCGAGAAGTGAGAGATTTTACAGTAAACAGTCATCAACTGTCATTACTGATGACCTCATTGAGCTTTCCAGGAAAGCATTTTTGACTGCCCTTTCAAGAAAGAAGTGGCTCGAACTAGTCCAGTCATATCCCACCATTAAGAATACTGACTCCTTTTTGATAGCCCCTAAATTAGAGGTTGGCATGAAGGAAGTCTTGCATAAGCATCATGACCATTTGAAAACCAAAGATGTTTTGGCCTTCTTTGATGGTTTGGGAGAAGAATTCTATTCGCACCAGTCAAAAATACATAATTACAATTTTTTCCACACATTATTAAGACAGAATTGGTACAGGATATCTGAAGTAGCTTTAACACTAATCGAAGTCAGATAACCTTATTAAGGTATTCGAGCCACTGTGGGTCAACATTGGGTTTAAGGTCATGGTGCACAATGATTATACAGATACAAATTAAAATTTATCGACATATGCAAAAACAGAAGCAAGCATAAAGCCAATAATAATTAATTATAAATTTGATTTTAGTTAATTTGAGAGCAAATTAATACAAAAATAAGAATAAAAATAAAGCTAAATAAAGCTAGTATTTATTAATAAATTTGATTTTAATTTTTTTGTTTTAAAACTGATTTAGTTAGTATTTTCAAGCTATCGTCTCTATCCTGTGATCGGATAGAAAATTTACCGTAATTTGTTCTTACAATTGGCATACATAAATAATAAGTTGGACATTTTAATTATATCAAATAGTTTTAGAAGACCGAGATTTTTAAATAAAGGACTAGTATGTTCATCATATCTTGAGAAAGTGATTATACGCACTACTTGTTTCTGTAAGAGCACTGATGATTTCAAGGAAGATTCGTGACGGTACAGCGTTTATCGAGTTGGGAAAGAGACTAACCTCTCATTAGGTACTTACCCAGATAAGTACATCATGAGTATAGTTTTAGTGAGGTATTTATCTAGATAAATACCTCATTAAACTATTCATGAGGTATATATCTAGTTAAATACCTCATGAATAGTTTAATGAGGTATTTATCTAGATAAATACCTCATTAAACTATTCATGAGGTATATATCTAGATAAATACCTCATGAATAGTTTAATGAGGTATTTATCTAGATATATACCTCCTCATGTGTGTATTGAGCAATTCAAATTCATACATCAGCCCCGCTCTTCCCTGCTGAAAATCAAATCCCTCCCCGGGCTTTCAGATGGACGAGTAATTACGCTAGATACAAGGTCTTGAATAACAAAAGAAAGTGACTCAATCATGAAATAATAAGCATTACTGCTTGTACAGTGGAGTATCCTGACCTAAATCCAAATTGGTTTTCAGATATTATATTCATTTTCTCAAAATACTTCATCAACCTCCCTACCTCCTCCGCAGGCGCTTAGGGTGCATTTCGGGCAGGTTCGGAAAATGCGGGTTGCAGGCGAGAGCGCCTGCCGAGTAATGCTTTCAAGATGGCGTATGCTATAAATCGAAATTTTCATTTTGACTTTACTATTATGACTTAATATACAATATACATACCAGCACTGATCTAATAGATCTAAATAATATTTAGAAATAGCATCCAGTGGTCTTGGCAGACTAAAAAGTACTTATAACTAGCCGCCGCTTTTCTATGACGATGGAGACTGTCTAATATAAAGTGTTTATACAAATTATGCCAATGCAAATACAACATCAAGGATATTATATCCGCTTTCTACATATTTTGCGACTAAGCCTATGATAAGCCATTCCAAATACTTTAGATAAGATTCAAATATCAGTCTGCATGAAACATTAAAAGCACAATTTGAAAGATAAATATGGTGAAATTATATTTGCATATTAATTTAAAAAATATACATTTACAATGTAAATAGAAGTAATATAGCGTCTCATTGTTCGCTTGTTCTTTGTCTTTTGAGTATAATAACACAATGTCTGCATGTAGAATCTCCATTACCACAAAAATCTACATACCAAGTCCATTTCAGAAAACGATATATTGAGAGTATCCACATCGCTGCCGTCGAACGATGAGCACAACATATTAATTGTCAACATATGGCATTATTCAAGCGTGTCCTGTTCATAGCGATCGATATCATTGTGTTACGACTGCTTGTTATGAATTGCATTATAAAACGCGTCAATGATCTACATGATATTTAATCAGGTAAAATACATACATATTTCCATTTCACAGAATGACATATTATTAAGAACGTCAACATCGTCGAAATCCTCGATTTTCCCCTCTGTTCGTCGCTGCTTTCGGCCATGACTGCCCTGAAGTATCACAAATACTCTACCATACACGGGGCAATAGTTTTGGGATAGGATGGTTCATATTTCACGAAGATTTTTAAGGATTAAAAACCGATACCCGGGAAACGTCACTTCTGCCCAGGAACCGACTATTATTCAGCAGGCCTTTCGTCGCCTTCCGTTCTTCCCTGATCTCAATTAAATTTCACACCCGCAAATTATTCCCGCCCGCATCGAAAGGCCTGCGGAGGAGGTAGTCAACCTCCCATACATTAGTTTTTCCAATATTCTATTAAATATAGACAATAAAGAAATTGGTCAACAACAAGCCCCCTTTGTTATGGTGGCCCACCCTTTGTTAGTGGCCCTAATGGCCTTGGATAGTCCTGGCGATGAAGGAGATGGCCCGAACCCTGACTTTATCAAGGACTACCTCGAGGATGCACTGGTTATGCTGGATAATGCACATGTTAGGCTAAACAATTGGTGCCAGAGACGCTTTAGTGAATTTCTCACCGACGCTGGAAAGCGTACTCTAAAGGAAGGGTTCCAACCGACAAGCACTGTTCCCAGATAAATTCCATGAGAAGATCAAGGATGACCATGACCACTCCACCACAACTAATAAGGTCATTAGTACCCCTACTTCTAAACCTGCTACATTTAGTCATCCTTCCCACCAACCTACAATCCTGGACAAAACCATCTGCGACACTTTATTAAAACATTCCTTTGTGGGGTTTTTTACCAGTTACACCGGAATAATTTACTCTTTTGCCCCCCTCCACCCCCCAAAACAATGTTGGACCTTCTATCCGTATTCTACGAATGCAATCAACATTGAATGGTGGGGGAAAGGGGGAGGTTTTCTAAATTTACTATAATATTACGACATTTTGTCAAGTAATTGGAAGTGTCGCAGATGTTTTGTCCAGGATTGTAGGTATCAGCCCTTTCGTGGCAGCAACACCAGTAGAGGTTTCCATACGACTCACTACAACCAGCCAAACAAGGATGGTCACATTCTCGATTTAGCCATACCCAGGCTAAGCGCCCACGCCCCTCCAATCCACCAAACCAGTCATCTTCCCATGGTTCTGGTCAGTTATGACTATCCGTTTCCCGTCCTAAGACATATCCATTGTGTGAATACTCTCTCCGGCCGTTGACTTGTTTGTCTCCGCTATCGGAACAAAAGAATTTCAAATCAAACACTACAAGATCCAACCTCGTACCCAGGGTATTTGCTCTTGGGAAGCGAAATACCCTGGTATGGGCTGGTCATGTGACCCGCGGATTTTGCGTAAAATGGCGCATTGTTTACTAGGGTCGGGGGAGTGAGTATACATTGTCACTCCTAGTAATTATATCACGCTCTTAATATAAATCTTCAAATTTACACTGCTCGAGTATGCACCTGGTCATGTCAAAAGATACTCCGAAAAAGTTTTGTAGTGCTAGTGAAGAAAGCTACAGCTCGTCCTGCCATTTATGTCTGAAGATTTGTGATGTGACTCACATTAAAAAGTTGTTTAGACCTCCAAACGCGAATATTCTGAAACTAGCTGAAGATTGTTTGGGCGAATTCCTCGTACGAGACAAAAGCCTGCCTCAAAATATTTGCAAACCTTGTGAGAGGCGACTGACCAACCATAAAGCTTTCAAAGAGCTAATTTGGAAAAGCCAAGACGCTCTTAAATCACAGTCTAGAGCGAAAAGATGCCCCGAGCCATCGCCTTCTTCATTGCCTGCAAGAAAGAGGGTTCAACAAGCAGCTTCCTCAACACGACGGTCCATTTTATTTTCTTCAAAGAAAATACGGTAAGTTTAAAAAACTAATCTGTGTAAGTGCACTACTGTACTTATTATAGTTTCCGTTCTTTTTATACTGGTTATATGCGTAATAATAATTTTTAAAACTCAAAAAGTAAAGTGCGTGCAGAGCTAGGGTTAATTTTGTAAATATAAAAGACTGCTTGGAAATGTTTCTTTAACATTTGTTTGTTTTTACCATATGCTGTCCTTCATAGCTAATTATATTTCAAGTTTTGCGACAAGTTTGTGGATTTTGACAGCTAGAACAACATTAGAAAAAGTGTAATTGCCGACGGGTGTGATTGCAACTGTTAACTTCATGATATATTTTAAACGGAAGCGGCTAATGAGTAATGATAGACATGATATAATAGAAACAAAACGCCTTAGTACTTTTATACAATTAAACTTTTAGGCCACATCAATCATTTTTATTTTTTGTATATTTTATATTGAAATTTTGAAATTATTTTGGAGCAAATTGCATTGCGTGTTGTGGGAATATACGGGAGTCCGAAGGCGAAATTTGCACAGATGGCGATTTTATCTTTATATAAATTTGTTCACGAACCAACATACATTTGACAAACCAGTAAAAAATTGTCATTTTACTTATGCATTGTGTTCATTTCGGCTTCAGACAGCGTTCTTCTTTAAGGGCATTTCATACAAAATATAAAACCCCCAGCCTCGGAACATTTTTAAAATTTAGTGATACAGTAATCAGAGATACAAGCAATTCGTACTTGCAACTATATAGACTGCTCTTAGGCTCTGTTCACATGATCCCGGAATAAACAACTGCCCCGCGACAAGTCATTGACCCGGGATACTGATATCTTCTGTTTACATGAACAAAACTAGCGCGGGTCATGCCTATAAATAAATTACGCGGTAATCATAAAATATTCCCGCCAACGTGAAACGGTGAAATATTGCTAAATAAAAAACATGTGTGTAAACAAATATGCATGGTGTGCTGTGAAGCATCATAAGTCTTAGTCTATATTAACTGTGAACTGTGTAAGCCCTTTCGATACATGTAATTGTAAATTTGTATTCTTACAGGGCTTGAAATAACGTTCCCAAAGTTTTCGATCATGACTTCCCTGATTTTTTCAGGTTGGAAACCGAAACCCTGCTTTTCCGCGGATCATAATCAATTCCATGCCGATCATTGATCGGTTGTTATTTCAAGCTGTCTTAACAATTTTGAATTGATACTGATTTCAAATGACTAAAGCCATGTAATAATTATCCCATGCAACTGTTAGGAAGGGCGAACTTTTGAACGGAGGACAAAAATCCTAAAGAAAAGGTGAAGTTTCTAAAGGGGGGCGAATTTCTAAAGGGGGGCGAATTTCCTAGGATTTTTGCCCCCCAGGGAGCAATATTCCTAGGAATTTCACCCCCCGGGGGCGAAATTGTAGGGGGGGGGGGCAAAAATCCTGGGACACCGGGGCAAAGTTGCCCCGGGGCAAAGTGTTCACATGAGGAAAAGTTGTCCCGGCTAGGCGAGTGTCCCTGTCTACAGAAGCGAGGCACTCTGGTCAATTCTTGTCCCGGGGCAAGTAAAATATCATGTGAACAGCACTATTCTTTTACTAAGGGGCCGAGACAATTTTTGTCCCGCGACAATTGCTTGCCGAGACATAACGCTGTCCCGGTTTCATGTGAACAGGGGCCTAACTTTAGAATTAAAAAAATATATTGATACATGTATAATATTAATATTTAACATTGGCTTTGTTTTTCAGCCAATCTGTTCAACTGATACACAACATGACAGCTCTTCTGAAAAGTTCGAAATGTCTAAAAAAGACGTTACCTCGAAGATTCAAGAAGAACTAAAATATGTTGCTCGAAGGAACACTAGCTCTGTTTTGGCAAAAAGACACTTTGACGTGTTGTCGAATGTTAATTTCAAAGAGATTATTGAGGAAATGAAACAGCTATGCCCCACAGTATACGAAATTGTTTTTTCTATTTTGGAAATGGACATAGGCACTGAACAGAAGATCCCAACTATGGCCTTGGTTTACAGCCTTACAATGGTTTAAACGTTTTCGGGAAATGAGTCTGCTGCAAAGATTGAACACGTTGCTTTTAATAGATGGAGATGCAAATCAGGAGGTAAAAAAAAAACCCAGCTGACAGCAAAATGTTTGTATATATATAAAACAGGTTGCCCTGACACCACTGTACTTTATTAGTAAAAAATTTTATTACTTACATGCATTTAAAGCCTGTTTTTATGTCTAATTTTCTAGGTTTTGAATAGATTGAATAAGTATGGATTTTGTCTGACATCTCAGATGAAGTATCCAATTCTTGATGATATTGGAAATCATTTCATGGACCATGCTGTTGAATTTGTCAAGAAAGGTCATAAGTTTGTGTATGTCATGGACAACATTGACTGGACAATTAAAGTTCATGAGATGCAATCTGATAATCAAAATAAAGATGTACATGCAGTAGCAACCAGCTTAGTGTTTGACCGAGTACATAAAAAAGAATTTTCCAGCAAAGCACCTCAACAGTCTCTGGCAAATGTGAATGTCAGAGAGATTGTCACTCCAACTGCTGAAGAAATGGCTTGCACTAGGGAACGATACAAGATTGTTCTTGGAAATATCATCTGCAAACATCTACAGCACTTCATGTCTTTTAAGGACCTTGTAGGTACTACCTCAAGCCTCTATCCAGATGAGATGCAATCACCATCTGTCATCATTCCTTATCCAGTTATGATGAAAGATGAGAAGAAATATGCAGAACTGGTTGATGTGTTGGACACCATGGAGACATGGATTCAAGAGCTTTATTCCAAAGCTGGTATTACTAGCAACACCAGTGTACCTGTTGTCATTCCTGGTCCTGCAATTGGAACAACATCTCGCCCTGATCAACCCGGATCACACATTCCACGAGACCTACCCCCTGATGACCCTTTACCAAAGGTTCCATGTTATGGTGATCAGCTGTCAAGAGTCAGACTGGCAGGTGGCAAAGACCTCAGAGCTGGTTGTCTCACACCCAGAGATAGGCTAAATCACCTCTATCCCTTTAGAATAGCAGACTGGCATACAAAACAAAGCCTTGTTAAAGTAAGTATAAAAAAATAACTTATTCCAGACCCTTTGCCCCCGGCTAGTAACCTATTGTGATATTTTACTATCCATGCCAAACATTTTACTCTTAGGGAAAATGATACCTTATTCTCTCTATTAAGCCCCCTCCCACTCCCATTAGTAGAATATTTGTAGTTTTTGATGAAACAGAATTATACTAATTTTTATTTTTGGAAAATTAGGTACGCACTGCGTACCAGTGGTGGATTTAAGGGGGGATGCGCACCCCCCCAGGCTCTGGTCAACAGGGCCCATAGAAATCTCGCGCCTTTGGCGCTTGTTTCGCCATTGGTTAGCACCACCCCACCCCCAAAAAAAAAGCTTTGCTGGATCCACCACTGCTGCGTACATGAGACTTGAGAGTTGTGTTATTTTGACATGCCAAAGTTGGATTACCTTTTTTTATACACCCTGTATATATTTGTGTGGCACTAAAAATTAATAAAATTTCATGTATTGTATTTAGTTAATATTCAAGAAGTTGTATAAGAATTCTGCCCGAGAAGTTGGAACCCTTCGATACTTCAGAGAAATGCTCCAGAGAAGGAATGTCACCAAGGATGTGAAACACTTTGAAGAATGTGAAGAATTATTTGTTTCGGTTGGCAAGTGTTATGCTGTCGAGGCTTTGTTAAATTTCTTTGGCATGTCTACAGAAAGTGATCCACCAAGAAAGAATAGCCCACCTTACCGTTTTATGTCTTTGGAAGAGCACAGGATAGCATACTGGGATGGAATGTTGGATAAGTTCATCAATGAGCACTTGATCACACCTGATATCTGTAGATGGCAACACCAGGCAAGATGAAACTCCATCTGTGTTGTCCAGTGAAAGCCCGGATTTAGTGAGGGAATATTCACTTCTATTGCTGAAGTACTACTTCTTAATTGCAGACATCAAAGATGCTGTTAAGAAAGGGAACGGACAGAGAATAAACCAACTCCACAAACAACTGCTGCACCACTTTAAGACTGATTCTGGTACAATGCATATGGGATTGAAATGTTCATTAGCATTATCCAAAACGAGGTTCTGCTTTCAGAAGAAGAAGCCTACCAGTGTACTTGGGCAGCAACTACAAACTGGACTGGGGGCAAAGAAAAGAATTTAGAGATTGACCTCATGCAGGAAAATCGGAACAGGGACTTGAAAAAATTGATCAAAGGCATGGGTGCAAACAAGACAGATAAGGCGATCGAGTGTGCAAGCAAAGCAGTAGGTGGTATTAGGAAGGTGATCAACTGCCCATAGTCACAAATCTTCATCTTCAGATGAACGAAAGATCATGAAAGACTTGCGAAACTTGAAGCCTTTCACACATGAGAGTGACAGAAAGCATGATGCATTTCCCTCTGTGTCATCTGACCCATCATGTGATCTTGAAGAAGTGAAATTTAATGACTGGTTGAAACGTCATACAAAAAACCTCTTGTACAATGTTCCAACAATGGAAGCTGATGTTGAAAGTGATGATGAGAGTGAAGGTTAATATCTTGCTCCTCAATTTGTCAGTTTAATTTGTTGTAAATGTTCAGATTATTTTAGTCATCAAAACATTGTTGTTCCTGATATGGGTTAAGTAACTTACATTGTTTTACTGAGCACTATATGCAGGGCTCCAAATGGCATTTCTCTTGTGCCTGGGGTTAGCCTAATATTTGTTTTGTTGCCTAATTTTTCAATTTTTTATTGTGCAATAAAGCAATTTTGCATCAAATGCATGTACCGGCCTAAAGGCCCTAAACTAGCATGTACTAAAAAAGTTTGTGAACCGCTTATTTTTCATTAATCAATCTAAAGAGTCAATCTATACCTTAAATCTTTGAACGCAAATTATTATAATGCCAAATAGGTATGTTAGGCATGCAGATGTTTACTTGGCCGAGGAGTTTTGCTGCTTGAGAAGATTGAGAACAACCTAGTTTTTAGTGTACAAGGGCCTAGAAACAACCTAGTTTTTTGTGCGCAAGAGCCTGAGAACAACCTAGAGTTATTAAAACTAGGTTGTTTCCAGTTTCCTCGCATAAAAAAGTAGGCAATGACGTCTTGTCACGGTTGGAGGCCAATGCATTGACAATCGTAATAAGATTACTGTAATGAAACATGATCTGACTATCTTGAGCATTTTAGATCAGCCGATAAATATAACCTGATATGAGACATATAAATGCGGTTGTGAAGGCAATGCGTAAGCTGCTTATAAATTATTTAAAAATTCTAAAATATATAAATTATTATGATAGATTTCAATGTACATTTAACAGTTTACTGCAACCTTTCACTGTCATTATTCAAAGCCTAGTTTGTGCTTTGCTTCCTGCCTAATTTTGGAAAGTTTACAAAATACATGTAATTGCCTACATTGGAAACTTTCTGAAAGTGGGGTTTCCAGGCTTAAAGGGCCGCATTTGGAACTCTGCATATGTTTTTTAATTTATTTTGTAAATATTCATTGTAAATATCAAATGTGGGAAAGTTAAACATACTGTAAAAAAATAGAGAATATTTACAAACAAACATGCAGAATTATTAGTATTCTGATTCTATGCTAAATTCATATAGTACAATCAACACAGTCACATACCAAACTGCAATTGCTGCAACACAAGTGTCCAACAACCTGTTCTTCAGTTGTAAGTTCTACATCTAAACAGTCCAAAAGGTATTTTCTCATGCATGAATGTTCCAAGTGGCAATATTCTCTGATATCCTCACTGATTCCTTTCCTGTTTTTGGCAATGTCACGATTATTGTAAAATAACAACACCCGTGATGAAGATCCATCTCTACCAGCTCTCCCAGTTTCTTGCATGTATTCTCGAACAGTTCGGGGTGGTCCAATGTGGATGATGTTTGTAATAGCAGGTATATCCACTCCCATGCCCATTGCAACTGTGGCAAATACCACCCTCAATTTGGAATGTGAATGTCCAAGTTCATTAAGAATTTGCTCTTTCATGGCAGCAGTTTGGGGAGAATGGAACTGTGAGAACAATCTATATTCTCAGGGATTGGGTCTGCACCAGTAGGGAAATATTGTTCATGCCCTAAAATTCTCTCAAACAGTCTATATGCAAACCCACACCATCTCAAATTTAGGTAAAAAATCGTCAGTGGATACTCAATTTTCTGTGCTAATAGATTTTTAGCAATTGGTGTTAATATTTGCTCATATGATTCAATATCTGGACCATTCCGAAATACTTTTTCATAGAAAATATTTGGTCGGTTAAGGCTTCCTACAACTTCCAGGGGGTTTCTCATATGCAATGTGCCCTTGATTGCTTCTCGGTCTTTCTTGCTTGCGGTTGCTGAAAGGGCCAGAACAGGAACTGATGGGAAAAGAGCACATAGCATACCAAGGTGGGAATAATCTGTTCTGAAATCATCACCCCTAAAAAATTACCATTTATTGCCTTTATTAACAAGAAGTGGCTATACACAAATTCATTTAAACAAATGGGTAGGGAAAAATACCCAGGAGCGTACCCTTTATTGCTGTCTTCTTTGGTCTCTAATATCAAAAGCACTCATCCTTTTTTGCATGCCAGTATGCCACAAATGAAAAACATACACAAACTTTACCAGTTTATTACAGGTAGATTCTACTTACCATTCCAAAATGCAGTGAGCTTCGTCGGTGACAATAGCTTCAACCAAGTTTTGGTATGGCACAGACTGGAACAAATTAAATCCTGCCTTAGACGACAAACATGCTTCGGGATGAAGATACAGGATATCGAATAACGCGTCTTTGATGCCAGGTTCATCGACACTAAAATTAGCACCAAATTCTCCGTAATTCTTTTTCAAAATGGTTGCTTTTAAACACGTACTATCATTTATCTTTCTTATTTGATCGTCGACCAGTGAATTTAAAGGCGAAACAACAAGGATAATGGGAGTAGACCAGCTTAAAACAATTTCCCCAGATCGCCTTTGTTCGTAGAGGTTCCTCTTGTTAAGCAATGTTGGCAGCAATTGATAAATCAAAGATTTACCATATCCTGTAGGCAAAACTGCCACAGTATCTCGCCTATTATACATGGCCTCCAAAGACTTTGTTTGTTTCGGTTTCAGATTTATATTGCTGTATAAACCACTTTTAATTACAGCGGAATGAAGGCAAGACAAAAACATATTCGATTCGTTATGGATTTTATATTTTACACTCCTGAACAAATGTCTTCAGCAACATACATCACACCTGCGAACAGGCTGTTAAAACCACCCACCCCCACTTAGTAAAGTAATTGTATTACGGTCACGTGACCAGCCCATACCAGGGTATTTCGCTTCCCAAGAGCAAATACCCTGGGTACGAGGTTGTACAAGATCCATCATCATTGCCGGCGGTTTCAAAAACCTTTGTTTTTTTCATCAGACCTGACGATTGTAGAAATTTCTTAACAACAACTGTTTCTGTCACTGTTTTTTTGCTCATTCTTCAAAGAGGTGAGTAACACTAGCTGTGCCAAATGTTCCTCTTCCAATCTCACTAGTATCAGAAAGATCAGTCCATAAAAATGTTTCAAAACCTTTTGTGAATTCTTGATATGAGACCTTCAATTTTGAAAAAGAAGGGAGCTTAAACGACATCTTGTGGTGAATGCTCTAACAACAAATCGGATCGGAACTAACAAAGCATACCTTTCGCGTTTATATGAGCAGGTGTGATATGTCATTTACATATCACACTATTTTAGTTAAAATGATTAAAACTAAAATGCTGGAAGTATGAATATGGCTATCTCAAAGCCGTAAGTTGTCGCTGTTTACAAAAGGATTAAAGGAGGTGCAAAGTGTCAAAATTGACGGGCATTCTATATCATGATGATCCTGATGAAGAAACTATACCTGCACATGCGATCAACTTTGACCAAATATTGATTGGCCATCACAAGTTTGCAAGCTACAATTTTGCACAGAGAAGTAACCTTGAAGCAAGAAAGTAAAGCATCAAAAGATCTCATAATGTGTACATATGATTATGTATATGAAATTACTCTGTGATTCTTGACTTATAAAGTATAGCCTAGTATCATTTGTGATGATTAAAACATATGTAGTCGAAACTTGAATATATTAAAATGTTTCTTTTCTGAGTTGCCATTGTTTGTATTTTGTAAAGATTCTTTGTTATAAATTTTTTGAACTTTAGTGAATTTCATTTCCATGTCCACGTTTTCCACCTAACCTGCATGTCTGTGTTTTCCACCCAACCAAAAGAACCTGTTAAATGTTACCAAACATCCTGCTTTTGATGCTGTTGTATTACATCACTGAGTTCTGAAAGTTGCAGCAAATGAGTTGAGAACAAGGCAGAGTAAAAGGTATACACAACTTGGCAGCGACGAAAATGGCTACTTAAGAGGAATCACTTATAGGCCGTAGGATGAGCATCCAAAAGATGCTTAGAAAACGGATTCCGTTGCATCCCTCGTGTAACTACGTAATTTTCACATGAATAAATAGATAAAAACTTACTTTATCAGAATCTGTTGCTCCCCAAGCAAAACAGGTGCACAATCGGGAGAAAAATCCCTCCACAGTTTGATATTTTCGCGCTTCGAAATATTCGAACTGCCATTGTTTTGATAGCAAATACAACTCAGCCAAACTCGCACTACGCACAACCAACGCACATGCTTTGAAGTGGAAACACGCTCAGTTATGCAAATAAATCATGACTGAAGATATTTTTGTGTTTTATGCATTTTGATGGTGTTACGGAGCAACTTTGTAAAGTTACACGCCAAAGGCTTACGAAATTTCTTGAGTGTAGGTCAAAATGGGGCCAACCTTAAATGTCAACAAGCTGAAGAATGCTGAAGAACCCTGACACCATTATCTTAGAATGGTACCATCATATGAAGTGCTGGAAGAGATTTTGTGATGAAGAGAAGATCCGTAGACAACAGAGAAAAGAAGAAAAAAGAGAAGGAGCTAGCTCTAAAACTGTAACTTCTACCGATGAATCACACATGGAAGTGGAGCCAATAGAACCAAGGCGAAAAATTACACATCGATCAGTCTCAGAAGCTATAAATAAGGCCCCTTCCTAAAAGAAACGAGCATGTACTCCCAGAAATATGTATTATTTGTGGAAGAGACACCTTGTGGTTCTCACTAGACAAGGAATGGTCATTTTGATAGGTATAATGCTAGCTCAATGTGCACAACATTCTCGGGTTTGGTTTTAAAATATATTGAATTGTGACCAATTAAGATTATTTAGGGTAAAGTAGTTTCTATGCTACAAACATCCAACCTTGTTATTACCAGATATTTAGTTTAATAATTTTGTTTCACACCAGGTAACTAAGAAGAGAAGAAGAACCCCACTCATGTTGGCAGAAACAATTGATGCTGGTCTTCTATGTACAGCTGCCGAGAGAAAGAATGATGAACGGATACTCATGCAAATCCAGGGAAAGACTGTGTAGCTCTGGAAGTCTGCTATCACAAAGTTTGCTACTGCAATTATACAATATTTCTCACCAGAGAGACAAAGAAGCAATCGGAGACTGAAAGATCTACATCAGTGTACGAGAAGTCTTATGATGTATTCTGTATAAGAAAGTAATCGAGACGGAGGTCATCGGAAATAAGCAAATAAACTATATGAAAGATTTGCTGGAGAAATTTGTTATCATTGCCAAGGACACTGAGAATGTGGACACATCTGAATATAGAGCTTTTAAACTCAAGCAATGACTGATGAAAACTTATCCCCCAACTTGTGTTCTGTGTACCGAAAATAAGAAATGTTAGTGAGATTGTATATGTGAAACATTTGGATTCTTCTGTATTGGTTGAGGAACATATGTCAATTAAAAAGGTGAGGACTTTGATGAAGAGAGCTGTACCATTGATGATGATAATGTGAATTCCAACACAGAAACTGAGGGAAATTGTAAAGTCAATGAGTTACAAATTCTATACAATGCTGCATTGATTCTTTGTCAAAAGGTGCAAGAAATAACTGAATCTTCCTTGGCCACCATTGGCATCTGATTTGACAATGGGTAGTATTTCAAATCTCTGACTATGAGGACTAGACTAGATTTTCAAGTCCATGCAATTTGATCACGTCCGAGGTGAAGCAGAGGACTGGATCAAAATGCGAGGACTTGAAATCTAGTCCAGTCCGAATTGGAGGATTTGAAATGACATCTCATTCCAGTCCAAGGACTGAATTAATTTTAATCCAGTCCTAGGACACTACAGGATCAATATACTTCATAAGGTGTCCAGTATTATCATGTGCACAAAATAAAGCAATATGGTTGGCTAATTTGCTCATGAATTATTAATGATTTGAGGTGAACAATGATGGTAATGCACATAGGTATTATCAGTGCAGTAGATCAGTATTTATTTACTTATTCGATATTCTCATTCGGATCCACGGTATTTATATTATCAACACGTATATCCCTCTCATGGACAGGGTTAACAAACGCACAGCAGCAGATCTATAAGAAAAAGTCAACCAGTGTGGACACGAAAAACCAGGTTGAATCATTCCTTGTTATTCTAGATAGTGGCTAAATACCAACTTATGTCACAATATAAATATAATATATGTAATAGTTCAAATACGAGAAGTAGAACTTTACCAGACAAAAGCCAGGACAGCTTATTGCAGAATACATGCAATCTCATTTTGAGTGTGTATGCCCTTGGTCAGGATCCAATTAGTGGGATTTTATTGCCCCGATGAAAATCTGGGTTCAAAGATGAAAACATTTCTTTCAATTATAGATAGTTATAATGAAATTATGGATTTTATATTTTCTCCCAATTTATCTTTTTTTATGATGGAACGCACAGTTTAAAAAGTGCCAAACATCTTGCATAGTTATTCAGTACTACATTAAAGATTCAATCAGAGGTTTTCAGGAGTTTATATAAATATCCCTTAAAGCCCGGGACGAACTGGGAAACACTGTTGCCATATTATTCATCAATCTTTCAGTATGTCATATTGTCTTATCAGCGTTAGCAAACAGATAAAGAGTGTTTCATCAAATGCTTCTCAATTTGGTAGGAAATAGTTTGCTTTATGGGAAGCAAATTTTGCTTCTGCAATAAAAGCCAATGTTTCTCAGTGGCATAGCTAGCGGTCCCGCTGTCCCGCCGGGCAGGACTAGAATTTTTTTTAAAAATGAGGAAATGTTTTATAGTGAAGCCAAATTAACAGCTTTTCTTATTCTGAAAATTTATATAACTATGATCATTTTTCAGTGTTTTTATTTATTCATTTAAAGTTTACGCAATGTTGCTATCTGCTCTTTGACCTCTGAAACCCCAAATTAGCTCATTTCCACGCAATTGATTGCTTACTCGCGCAATTCGTGAATCGCATGTCTCGTGTTCTGTGTGATTTTCATATGGCGGGATATACAATACTATTTTATACAAGAAATTCTGGTTTCTGATTGGATAATTGGCGCAGCGCATGCTCAGAACGGCTGTTTTTAATGCCGAAGTCCCGCTATTTTATAAAGGCGGAGGTTGTCAACTCAATTCCATATATTAAAGAACTCTGCGAGTATTTGCAGTAGAAATACGAAAATACCACCAAAAAATTCCGCTTGAAAGATACTATGTAATTGAACAATGTAAAATAGCCATAAATTATAAACTAGCCATACTCGAACAATGTAAACTAACCATACCTATATACACTATACTTGAACTGATGTAAACAATGTATCACTATTAAGCCATACCTTTCGCCAAAATTATATAACTGGTATTAGTCTTGTTCGAATCACCATCTAACAGACTATTTCAAGCTTGTATCTGCAGATTTGCATCTTTTATTTCGGTATTTCGAAATATCTAAAGTTTACGCGAGAGCTTTGACCGGAGGTTCAAGTTCAAATATCTAAAACAATGCTAGCACTCGGGAAACGTCGGAAATCGATTCTAAAGGTCAAATTACCTGTGTAGCGTGATAATAGCAAGCCAAAATATTCCTGTTTAAATAGAGATGTATTGAAACTTCGGCGGGACGATTATTTTGAGCCAGCTATGCCACTGATGTTTCTTAACATTGTTTAACATAAAAGACAATGTTTCTTACGTTTGGCCAAGGCTTTAAGTTTAGTGAAATATTTCATTTGTTCCTTGATTGTGTGAATTGTATGTATATATATTTTTTATTCTCCGTCCTGTTTGATACAGGTGGGTTTTTTACCTCAAAAAAATTTGTATTGAATTAGGATGTTAATATAAAGTAGAATTAAACGTTAAAACGGTATTTTGAAACAATAGCCAAATGAATTGAAGTGATTTAGCATATGAGCAAACAAAATATACAATGTATATATGCAAAAGGCTGCTGGGAGTAGCTAACAAATTAATGAATTTTCAAGGCAATTCCTCTCCAGCAGCCTTTTGCGCCCGTATTTGACTTTTCCGCTTTGCTTGTGGACAACCTTAATTGAAATAGCTGTATACACAACAATTCGAACATGGTTTGCAAATGAGAAAAATACAGAATATACTGGATATAAGTCTGTAGAAGAGAGGTAGATGAAGTTTGTGATTTTACAACTCTATTAAAACAGCTTTTACATCAGTTTTGAGACATATTCAACAATTATTAAACTTGTGATATTTCACAATGATTCAAGAAAACAAATTAACCACTAGTCACATATTCATCATGCTAATATATTTCAAAACTGGTGTAAAAGCTGTTATAATAGAGTTGTAAATCAAACTTCATTAGAGGTTTGACGTACTATTTAAAAAATGAGCAAGAGTTTTATTAGGTTTAAAGCCATGAGCGTGCAGCATGAGTGGCTTTAGACCTAATAAAACACGACCTTTTAAATGGTTTCAAAAACGTTTGCATAATAAGTCAAATCTGAATATTAATTGTAAACAATAGATACATTCAGGTAATAGACTTCAGATATGAAAAATCTTTATATAAAAATCTTTATATAGTTTGCATAACAATCGTCTTTTGTATTATTGCATAATGAAGTGTCCTTTAGCTGGTATAAAGACTATATGCACATGACTAATTTCTTACTCAAGATTGGATTATTGCTTCATGAATTACTGAGTTTTTGAAGCTTGTCGTAAACGTCAATCTAAAACTCTCTAGTATCTCCGGAATGTGGGGCATTTATAAATATTTGAACAAGCTGTCAGTTAAATCCCCACCCTGTCACAAGTAGAATGAGGGGTCGGGGTTTGCATTTACATGTGTAAAAACACACAGCTTGTAACAAGTCTGTTCACAAGCTGTCAACAAGTTGTCTTCACACTGCTTGTTCCCAACCCATTTATTATAACAAGCTTGATGGTATTATCAGGTTGTTCTAACAAGTTTGACACAGTCATGATATAACAAGCATGTTACAAGGTTGTCAACACAAGGTTGTAACAAATTGTTATATCAAGCATGTAACAGACTTGTCAGAATAACTTGTAACAAGGTTGTTAGTTGTCAACAACTTGTTCCAAAACTGATGACAACTTGTAACAAGCAGTGCAAAGACAAACGTATTGACAAACTTTGTTACAAAATGTGAGATATTTGTGTGTGTACTCATGCACAACATAAACTAATCACCATAATGTCAATTAAACAAAATTACATGCATAGAACAGTTCATCAGTTACTTTTGAGTTTAAATTAGTAGCATTGTCCATGCTTGTGCGCCCTTTCATGGGTTTTTTGCACTTTGTACTGCGCTGTCTCTTTGGTACGTTTGTAGGTTCTGGTCCAGAAAAGTCCTTCTTGAACATTCACCATTGTCAATCCGACTCCCCCATGATGTGTGGACTTGTGTGCATGTTCGACGAATTTTCTTGCCAGCAATGATGATTTGGGAATGTAGACCGGATAAAAGCCCTAAACTCTTCCTCTGCACTCTAAAACACTGTCCTCATTTAATTGTAAATTAAGTTGCAATTGATCTCTCATAAAGGTTTTGTCAACTTGTTGAGCTTTCGTGATCAAACAAATTTCAGCTTTCTCTAAATCACTGGTTGCAAGTGGGCCTTCAATTCTTCTTTCTGTCACACCAAATGTTTCCAAGGAACTGCAGCAAACTTAGAGAGCTAGTTCCCGCTCATCCTCTTCTTCCTTGGCCAATGCAAACAATTGCTTTGTTAGCTTCACTTCAACATTGGAGTTGTCCTTTGATCTGGTGGCCATTCGTTAGGTTTACTTAGCCAGTCAGGACCCTTCCAACTCATCTCCCACCATGGCTTGTGAAATCAGCAGGATTTTCTTTGCTAGGTACATGTCTCTGTGTTACTCCTTCATGCTCACGAATTTTGTTGATACAGTTAGCTACGAAAGTTTTGTACTCTCCTTCTCCACAGATCCAGTGTAGTGCGACACTGTTATCTAACCAACCAACAAGGGATATTACTGGAAACCCTTCCAAAGCACTACACACGTTGTTAAGTAAATTCACCTCCATATGTTCCGAGGCCAATTCTTTCCAGGGGATTGTTAAGTCCTGCTTCACGAATCTTGCTTTCGCACAAACGAGACCTTGATTTACTTGAGATTGTTGAGTGATCACAGAATACACTGCTGCACCTACCCCATGACCACTCGCATCACCAAAGGCGTAAAGTGTTATGTCCTGAATAGGTTCTGGAGCAAGTGGTATAGCCTTGACTTGAAGAGGGAGGTGATTTTCCCACTTGTGCCAACGTTTAGTAAATTCGTCAGGCAGTTCTGAGTCCCACTTACACTTTTGCTCACAAGCCTCACTACTGTCTGATTGTTCGTTTTGTTCCAAGTCTTTGACATTTGATTGACATTTGATTGCCACTTGTGTAAATGGAATGACGCTTCTTTAACTATTTTGACTGAGGCTTCAGAATCTCATGCACCTCTTCTACTGAAGTCCCTCCAGTTACCAAGTCAGCATGCTTCTTCAGCATGCTTAGGGTACTTCTCTTTACTCGCATTCATTGGGGATCCTTATCTTCCAACCAGTGAAATCTCATTGCATGTTGATGTTCTGTTCCAATACGTACTTGAAAAAATGCTTTGCCAATGTCACCACCATTAAGTGCAACAGGATGGAAACGTCCTTGAACCAGAACCTTGAAAACTTTATTCTGTAAGGGTGGACCCGTGTTCTAACAGTCACTAGGGATGGTTGGAATCCTGTTTTTGAAGACACATCGTAGACTTTTCGCGTTTTTGTGGATTCTGATGATTCACCCACAACCAGATGATGAGGTAAATAGAACACAGTTCCAGTTAGTGGCCATTTGCATTTTCAACAACTCCTTTAGGTTGATCTTGAATAATTGAATTGTCTTCATTGAATTTGTCAGTTTTCTTCAGTCACAGCACCAAAGTCCCCAAATGTTTCAAACTGTTCTCATCATTTGAGGGCAAAGGCAGATGGCCTCCCTTCCAAGGGATGGCTGCCAAGTCTCATACCACCCATGTACAGGATCATGCCGAAGCTGTTCCAAAAACTCTTCATGTACAACTTTCTGGTCTTCAGATGGTGTGTCTTGAATACCAAGAACATCGATGCGACAAAGTTCCTCACAATCAGATTGAGCAGTTTGAGCAAGAAAGATATTGTCTAAATTGGGCTGAAATCCTGGTGACATAATTGACCAGCCAAACTGAGTGAACTCCGCAACAGGGTCCCCCACTTCACCAGTTCTTTGTGGTTCACTAGTTTTGATCCTTGAATATTTTGCTGCCCCCAATATGAGGTGCACTGGAAGGACTAATTTGGTATCTGTTTCCACTATACTCATTCCTTCTAGGTGTTGGAACTGACTAATCAACTCTGGGTAATTTGGATTCACAACTGACAAGAGATTTCTGCTGACAACCTTTGTTACATTCACTGGGATAACAAAGTTTCCTTCTGTGTTGCTAACTTCAAGATTGTACATTTCAACATGCTTTGCTATTATCCCTGTGATGGTTTGAATACACCATGTCGAGGTATTAGATGGATGATCTTCATTAGGCTGAGAAGATATGCAGATGCATCAAATGAAGTAGCTCCTGTGTCCAGTAGTGCTCTACAGGTGATGCCATTTGCTTTGGTGGTGGGAGTGGGGTGACAAACTTTTTGCGCTTGGGTGGAGGTTTCTCTAAATTGTCACAAATTGATGAATGATGTTTTTTTTCTTGCCGTGAAAACAGGTAACTTTACTTCGACACTGTGCTGCATGGTGTCTGCCACTCATACAATTAAAACATAACTTCTTTGGTTGTAGGATTCATTTATGCTCAGTTGGTGTAACCACCTTCTTACATTCAAACAACTTGGGCTGTTCATCATCACGGTAAACACAACCCTTTGGTGTTGAGGAATCCTTGGAGAAGAACATGTGGTTGCGGTTGTATAGGTCCTAGGGTTATGTTTGGTTGAACTTTGCTTTCCAATTTTCCAGAAATTTGAACAAACTCGCAATTCCCCAATCTTGCCATCTAACCTGATTTGTGACCAACTCTGCCTTAATACCAGGTAATTTCTCTCTAACACCCTGTACCATTGACAAACTGCAATGGTTTACCTAATGTTTCTAATGATTACACATTGTAGCTCAGATTCTTGATAAATTCATGTATCTTGTTTATTTTCCTGCCAGTTATTGTAGGCAACTCTTGTATGTTTTTTACATATGCCCTAACAATTTCACTTGTATGCCCATGATTAGTTTTCAAAATGTTGTTAACACGGGTGTAACCCTCTATGGTAAAGGGTAGCCCATCAATCTCGTCACACAAAGGGGGCTCTAATAGTTCCTTTAGGTAACAGAACTTGGTTACAGCTGGGAGGACTGTATTGTCTATTTCAGCTTCAAATTTATTCCAGAAAGACACCCATCTTTCATATGCACCATTGTACTTTGTTATTACTAACTTAGGCATTTTAAAGTGCCTATGTCATGATTTGGGATTTTAAATATTTTTATCTTTGGTGCATTTTATGAAGAAAAGTAATATATCTTTATAAGAAAATATACCATCTTCATAGGATTATCAACCTTCAAAGTTACTGGATATGACAACAAATTGGGAATTTTATATGCTAGCAACAAAAGAAATCTAATTTGCAATTCCCGGTTTGATGTCATATGGCCGGAGAATCCTGTGAAGATGGAATATTTTCTTTTAAAGATATATTGCATTTCTTCATAAAATATACCAATGATTACAAATAATAAATTACACAAATTATGACAGGCACTTTAACACTGCTCACCTTTGCTTGTTCTGCCTTTTTTGACTTGACACTAACCGAACCCAAGCTAGCCATTTGTTCCAATTTACATTTTTCGAAATACAGTTCTTCATCCTGTTGTTGTTTTAGCAATATTTTGCACTTTTCACATTTCTCGTTCTCAGTCTTCGCCTCAGCTTCTGTTAAATATTGATTTAAGTATAATATTTTGCAATCTGTCTCATCAATGTCCCATTTGATATCAACTCCCCAATTTTGAACATATTTGATCACTTCCCTGTCTTGTAGTTTGTCCTTTTTGCCTTTTACTTTAAGCTCTTCTAATTCTTTTACAATTTTCCCCAACGCTTCTTTATGTCGAATGATTTTGTCAAGATTTCCCTTCTCTAGAATTGCTTTTGTTTTGCTTTGGGTGCGTTTTAATAGCTGTCGCTCAGTGTCTAAATTATCGCTCCTTTTATCCATTTTATCTTTTATTTTCTGGGTTCTGTAGCTGACAGTGGCCGGTACGTGTCACTACATAAACAAGTATCAAAACACACATTACAAAATCGAATAACGCCAACCAGAATAAACTACGCATTTCAAAATGCTCACTACACATTACAAAATGCTCACTACACATTTCAATATACTCACTACACATTACAATATACTCACTACACATTACAATATACTCACTACACATTTCAAAATGCTCACTACACATTTCAAATTCTCACTACACATTTCAAAATTCTCACTACACATTTCAAAATGCTCACTTCACATTTCAAAATTCTCACTACACATTTCAATATACTCACTACACATTTCAAAATTCTCACTACACATTTCAAAATTCTCACTACACATTACAAAATTCTCACTACACATTTCAAAATTCTCACTACACATTTCAAAATTCTCACCACACATTTCAAAATTCTCACTACACATTTCAATATACTCACTGCACATTTCAAAATGCTCACTGCACATTACAAATTGCTCACTACACATTTCAATATGCTCACTACACATTTCAATATTCTCACTACACATTTCAAAATACTCACTACACATTACAAAATACTCACTACACATTTCAAAATGCTCACTACACATTTCAAAATGCTCACTACACATTTCAAAATTCTCACTACACATTTCAAAATGCTCACTACACATTTCAATATGCTCACTACACATTTCAAAATACTCACTACACATCAAAATGCTCACTACACATTTCAAAATACTCACTACACATTTCAAAATACTCACTACACATTACAAAATATATCTCACTACACATTTCAAAATTCTCAGTACACATTTCAAAATACTCACTACACATTTCAAAATTCTCACTACGCATTTCAAAATACTCACTACACATTTCAAAATGCTCACTACGCATTTCAAAATACTCACTACATATTTCAAAATTCTCACTACACATTTCAAAATATTTATTACACATATTTTCAAAGTACTCACTACATGATTGAAAATATTCACCACACATTGTCCTCAGGTTCACTGATACTGGTTAAAAATGGGCGGGAAAGGGTAATGTTCTGAAGGAATTTCCAGAAAATATGGTGATTTTATAGCAAGAACAGAGAAAAATATTTTTGTAAGTATCAATGAGCTCTATACAGGGGGAGAGAGCATTTTGTCCCCCCCCCACCCAGCTCAACAAGGGCCATCAAGGTTCATAACCTGATTTGTTAATAGAAGATTGCTTAACCTGAGAATATATGTTCTAGCTGAGTCAGTGCCGGATAATACGTAAAGCACCGCGGAAATTTATGACATTATGGCGGGCCGCAAATTCTTGCTCCAGATATAACCACAGTTTATAGACTAAGATGGTTGGGCTAGCCGGCAAACTTCAAAGGCGGCGGCAAATTATGTTGGGGATCAAAGGATAAAAAAGTCACGTGTCCATGAAGCGGTACGCTGCGTGCGTTTTTATATAGTTTTCTATTAGGAAAAATCAAATATCTGGATAAAATATCTGGATATCTTTGTTTGAGGAGGGTCATTTAATAGGTTTGTTATCGTTATTGTCTGGCAAGTTCGTCGAGAAGGAAACAGTCTTTTACAAAGCAAAATGAGCGAATACGACTGCGAAAATGAAGCAAGCATTGGAAGGCTCGAAGAGATCGATTTATCTGATGACGATTCAGACGACAGTTTCAACCTTTTGTTTGATGTTTTGGTGGCTCAAAAGTCTATAAACTGTGCTCAAACGGAGACAAATGAAATTGACAATGCGTTCAATTAAGCTGCAAACGAAATCAAAGGCAAGAAGCCATTTGAGTGCGAAAATGCGGTAAAATATGCGAATCGAAGGTGCTCTTTTAATATACAAGGTGTACAAATTCTAAACATGCCGAGCCCAAGACTGCCGAGGTATACAAGGACAATCTAGACAAAGATACAGTTGATGGCTTTGTTGAAGCAATCAAAGCTAGAATTATAAACGAAGGTCTATATGGCAACGAGAGTTCCATTGCAGCACCGTTTACTGCTCTGTTTCCTATGTACGAGATAATTTGGAAGGAAAAGAATCAGGACAAGTTGCTCGAAACCTTTTATGGCTCAATTCCTCCATTGGAAAAGTTGTTGAAGTGTGATGATTATAGAATAGTGAACTTAGTACTGATTCAACTGCCTGTTTTTTTGTTTGGTATCTATAAGACTTCCAGAATCAACAAAACGCAAGACGACACGCTAGCCACACTTGAACCCAGCTGAATGCCGACCATTGTCCTACATTGCTTTGCACAAGCCCACTTCTGCGGTTCTAGCAAGAATAAAAGTCTTTGCATGACTTGCAATAAGGCTTGAATTTCATCGTTGGACTGGCCTTTCGTTGTTCGGTTTTGTGAACAAGCTTTACTCGCAATATATCCATATTTTGATTAAAGCTTGTTCACAAAAACAAATGAAAGAAAGCCCTGTCCAACAATGAAATTCAAGCCTTATTGCAAGTCATGAAGTCAACTGAAGCGACAAATACTTTTATTTCTGCTCGAACCAAAGGTGGGTTTGTATGCCATTGTGACGACTTAATTCATATTGTTGAAGTTTCTGAGTTACTTTCAGAGGTGAAATCAACAAGATCAATGACAATGATACATTAATAAGAAGGATACCTATAGCCTAGGCTATACAGAAAGTTCCTATTTGCAATTCAGTGCTCTCCTCTCCTGTTGTGAAGTGATTATTGGAGAACATTGTTTTGTCTTCTGGCGTTGACAGTTCATCTGCAACTCCAAAATTCTGCTTGGAAGATATTGTTAAAACTCTATTTAAAAGTTAGATCTTTTTCATATGTACTTTAAAGTACAAAATAAAAGAGAAGCAAAAAAGACCAAAGGCAAAGCGCTCAGAAAGGACTTGAATAGGAAGTAACTGTTCCTGTAAATAGTATCTGTAAATATCCCTATTTACAGATATATTAAACAATAACAACAGTGTATATTTCTCTAGTTACCTTCCTATCATGTATAATTATGTCGTATTGACTTTTGTAATACATAATGGAAAATATAAAGATACACTCAATAAAAGCACACAGTTTCTCAAGACTGTTGTGTATACAACTTTTTGTCGCGACTGTGGCAATACACTGATATTTGATTCTCATCGTGTTCGCAGCTGTTTTCACTCACAATAACATCTTAACTGATCCATGTTTCCGTTTAAATGACGTTTTAAATTTGTAACATTTTAGATCTCTTTGAATTGTTCTCCAGAAGCAAAAATGCGATTTGTGCGAGATATTTTGACCCCTCCATATCGCCTTTATTTTTCGTTTTTACACCCTCATGTGTTTCAGATAATGATATTTGCAACTCAACGTACTTAACACGAACCATCACAAACATATGCTTTGAATTAATTTCGTGAGACAATCGGAAAAACGTCATTTTATCTGCAAATATGATCCACTCATATAGAAAAATATACAATGTTTTGAAACAGCATACCGCTTTCTTGTCACGTGACGCAAATAAATTGAGAACAATGACATATTCTGTGACGTCAGCAGCTAGCCCAACCATCTTAGTCTATAAACTGTGATATAACATATAACAGCTAGAGCCTCGAGTCTTATAATAATGCACCTATTATAAAGTCAAAGATGGCGGAAATTGACGTTCAGTGCCAGCGGTAGCAGCTCATTTCAATTGTTTTTTTTTCCAAATGTTTGTATTTTGACTCCATTATGACTTAGAATAAGGCCACTAATAAAAAAAAACTTGGTTAGCGTCACCGCCCGCCTCTCGATTTCTGCCGCCTCTGAATATTTTTTAAATTATTTTTTTCACGTAAATCTCTTCGTTTTTCAGCTTAAAACAGTTTAACATTTGAAATTTTTCTCATGCTCAGACCTTCGCGCTATATACTGATCGATAGGAGCGCGTGGTCTTGGGTATACAAGGTCAGTTATACTTATAGCAAAATGGCGGCCTTCACAACATCAGTACAAAAAATTTCACCGATGTGGTGGAAAAACCGCCCCCATCCCCCCCAAAATACTATTAAAAATTTAAAGAGTAAAAATTTAAAAAACCCGCCCGCCTCTGAGAATTTGTGAGAGTGTGACGCTAACCAAGTATATTTTTTTTTATTTGGCCTAATATTAGACTTAAAGAATACTAATAGTATTGTTTTATGAGCTGATAACTTGAGTAGCGATACGATACGATGAAAACTGTTAGCGTTGAGACCTGATCGATGACGTCTATTTAAGTGAGTTCTTTTTCCAAACTGCCTGAAGACCCTGGGCATGAGCTCCACTTTTGAATTTTGCTATATGAGTAAATTGTTAAACACGTCCGAAATTATCAATACAATAAATTGGCGACACATGCTGAGCTAACCCTAACATAATCTTAATCTAACCCTAATCTAATGCTAATCTTCATCTGACACTAGTCTAAACTTGGTGACCTTTTTTTCTAATTTTAGTGCGATTACATTTATAACAAAAGTTTTGTCTAATGCTTGTGGTTTTATGTGGATTTGAGAATTTACTGTATTGATAATTTCGGACGTATTTTAACAATTTACTCATATAGTAAATTCAAAGGTGGAGCTCATGTTACAACGGAAAGTAGGAAATGCCAAGTCAGCCAAGTGGAAGCATTGTCACCAAGGCAACAAGAAGCACATTTTTCTTTGGCGCCATTTTACAGTTGCCATGTTTTATTCATCTTGTGGAAACTTCACAAAACAAATGTATTTTGCCCTACTTGTGGCACTAAAGTTAATCGCTCGGAATCTCAATGTTAATAGAAAGAAACAACTTCCACTATCTTTTAGCGATTTTAAAGCAAGTAGGGAGAAAGGGGGAAGCATTTTCGTCCTTCCACCAGAAGCAAAGCTGCAAAAAGGAAACTTGTTTCGAACGAGGATCCTAATGAAACTGTTAAGATAAATGTAGGAATTATGTTCTATGATGGCCAAGAACTAAAGAATCAACGTGGCAAATCGCTGTTGCTATCTTTGAAGAAATCTGCCAATACGGATGATCTTCTTAACGCTGCCCTCAACAAACACAAAGCACATTCCAAAAATCTTATTAAGCCCAATGCTAAGTATGTAATGCTATATCCTGATGGCTCAAAGGTTTCAAAACTAAAAGAGACTGATGAGGATTTTATATTGCATAAGTACAAGATGGAGTGCAACAAACCGTACCACCAAATTACTTTCTTCCTCTGTCAAGAGTTTGACCACTCAATGGCTTCTTTACAACAATGCCTGTTTGATGACAGTTCTGGTGATGATTTGTCGAAATATGATGAATTAACGCAGGAAAAAAGTGAACCAAAGTCAAGAAAGTTGAGTAGCGAAGATAATCTACCAATTGAAATTGACACTCCAAGCACAAGTTCAGCAGGGACGAGCTTTCCGGTTGATTTATGCTCAGACAATGGCAATAGAAACAACGTGCCTGTCAGTGTCACTGTAGATAGTCAGGCTGGTTCTCAATCATCTGATAATAACTGTCACCTGAATTATAATACCCTGTGTGACATGTTTCCACAAGTAGATGATCATAAGATACAGGGAGCCTTAACTATTGCGGCTGGAAATATTGAGGTCGCTGTTAGTCATATTTTGGAAGTAACAACCCTTCAAACAACACCTCAACAGGTGTATGCTTCATTTGAATTTTGCAATAACATAGACAATGATGAAGAATTTAGAGAATGGGATGTTGAAGATACTACAGAACATGAATCAGGAGCAGACATTGGCAATGAAGAGCCTGTTGCTGACATCATTAGGAGGTTGGCTGAAGAGAAGCTTACAAAAGATAAAGATTGTACATTACGAGTGAAGGTAATTTACATGGTTTAGAATTTCTTTTTTTTATAAATTAATTGGGAATAGAATATGTTTTATCCGATAATATGAAATTTATTTTGAGTGTAAAATGATTGTACATCATATGATAAAAACGATCAAGCAAACAGTATATCGTTTTTGCAACACTCAAATCAATTTCATATACTTATTCTTTGCATGCCCTGCATAGGGGTGTGTGGTGTGGTGTGAATGGGGTACTAGAAAATCCGCCAGTCTGCCGAAATTTGAAGCGAAATCCACCAATCGTACCAATGGTCTTGTCTAAATTTGGATCCCCTAAAAGCTCTACTATGAACTCACAATCCAGGATCCAATCTAAATTGTAGGCAAAATCCACAATCTGAGCCAAAATATTTTATCAATCCACTGTATTAATAAAATCCGCAAATCTGTGTAAAATATTCCCTAGATCCAAAATCCGAACAATTTTTTCAACTGAATCAGACGATCCGAAAACCTATTCAACCCCCCCCCCCCCATAAGGTGTTGTTCCAGGATTGGCATATAGAACTGAGCTAGAGTGGTATTATGCATGTGTACACAAATACACTCATACCGTAAACCTCCGACTATAAGCCCCCCCAACGTGAATAAGCCCACCACATGTACTAACGCTAACCTTGTTCCAAATATAAGCCCCCCCTATATATATAAGCCCACCTGAATATAAGCCCCCCGAATATAAGTCCCCTGAATTAATATAAGCCCAGTAATCACTGCTTAATAATACATGTTTATTTTCCTGTTTATGACTGACTTGTTTATGTCGGACTTGTTTATTACTAACGTACCAAAGATTGTCCATGTATAAGCCCCCCCCCCGTATATAAGCTCCCTCTTGTATAAGCCTATCAAAAATCGCTTATGAAAGTGTATAAGCCCAGGGCTTATAGTCTGAGTATTAGCAGGGATTTATACAAGCATTTTAGTCTACCACCAGTTTTTTCATAGGAAGTTTTAGTAGGCGAGCACTTCCATCAAACCACACTCCCATTCACTGGAAAATTGTTGACTGGAAAATTGATGATTTTGTCTATAAAATAAGTTAAACATTTCCCGGCAGCATTGAGACAACACTTTTGAACAAAAGTGTAACTGTTTTAAAAAAGGTTTTTAATCACATACGGTATTGTGGAAGCATATATACAAGGTGTGTTTCAGTTATCCAGATATTATGAATTTATTAATAACTGCATGTTCTTTCCGGTGTTTCCTGATTGAAAATTGTATGCTCTCCAACCACATAGACTAAAAGAGCCTGCTCATAGGCAAACTATATAATCCTAGCTGAATATAGCCATTCAGTACCCCTACATTGGTACTCTATGGTATATGGTATAGTATGCTATATGTGAATCATAAACCTTAAACCTAACCCCTAAACTAACCCTAATACCTAACCCCTAACCCTAACTTATATTGGTGCGCGAAACATGGAACGATAACCCAATTTCACATAAACAATATTTTATAAATAGCTCGGTCAATGTGACAAGGTCAAACACGCATGTATCAAATTCCATTGTGATTATCGTAATAGTATTGTCGAATTTCTTCAAATTTCTTTTGTTTAATATGCTTTATGGCAGAAAATAAATCAAACACACACATATTATTTTGAAAGGGCTTTATCAAAATCTTCGACGAAGTTTGGACACACGACGCTGAAAGAACAGCAAGAGTCGTGTGTTTGAAAGCTTGTTGTTGACAGCCTAGGCCCAAGATGTCTTTGCCGTTCTGCCAACTGGCTTTGGTGAAAGTCTTATTTATCAAGTCCTACCGGCGTTGTTTTCTGAGCTATATCACCTTTGTCATGGTACGATAAAGAATTTCGTTATTGCTGTTGTTGTCCCGTTAGAAAAAGTATGTCCGCGTCCAGCAGGTTGAGACCTGGAGAAAGCTTGGTATTCAGCCGTCTGTTTAGATCCCTTGTTCAATGATGAAACAAATGACTTTAGCGTATTTTCTTGACGCACTTTAATTCCAATTGCGGAAAGTAGATCGCAGAGAACAAAACTATTTGCATTCAGTCCTTGCACAGAACTGACTAAATCTTTGTTTGCTGTTCGGTTAAATTAAATAGAGAAACTAAACTCTTAAAAGTACCTTGAATTTTTAGGTTTAAAAAGCAAAATGCACACTCTGCGGACATGTACATTCATGAGAATATAAAAACAAATAATCCAGCATGAAATGAATATCTTTATACTTTTCGTATTTATTTTCGTGCAATGAAATCTACAACACTTGTCAATCATATTGTATGACTGTCTAAAAATAACATGTGGGCGTCCCACAGTTTAGACAGGTTTGTGTCAGGCCCTATTCTAAATTAGGGCCTGAATTTCAGGTTAGAATCATCACAGTTAATAGAGGAAGGATTCTATTAACCGTGGAATCATGTAGGAGTATCAACAGGGCTGTCGCAAAGAGGCTTTAAGCAATGTAAAAATTGACGACAAAATCCTTCATTTTTTTGCAGACAATATGTTTTCAGGGGGGTTTTACACACTGCATAGCCCCTAGCGACACCTTGAGTATCAACATATACATGGTTTGTTATTTGTATGCTTTTTGGCTATATTTCTTTCTCTAGGTACGACGTAGTAATGTGTGGGAAGATGCAAAGATCAAGATGAAAAAATGTTCAAATGATGAACTGAATAACCTCATTAAAATTCAGTTTGTTGGAGAACCCGCAGTGGATCAAGGTGGCCCAAGAAATGAATTTTTCTCATTAGTCCATAATGAAGTATCTAAATCAGGCATGTTCATTGGCAAGGAAAACAGAAAGTGCTTCAACCATGATATTCTTGCCTTAGAACAAAGAAACTATTATATATATGGGCAGTTATGCTATATTGCAATCCTGCAAGGTTCACCTTCTCCCTGTTTCTTTGCACCTTCAGTGGTAGATTATATTGTTTATGGCAAGACTGAAAAAGTTGAAACGTGCGTTGGAGATGTGCCAAATCAAAAAGTGAAGCAAAAGCTGGAAGAGTTGGAAAAAATTGAGGATCCTGAAGCATCTTTCGAATGTTCATTTAAATTTAAGGCTGGTTTTAGCAAGCCACTCAGCACGTTTCAAGAAAAAGACAAACTTTTTCATGCAATTGCATTGCATTATACCCTGCTCTCCTCCTTGTCTGAAATCAACCAATTTATGGAAGGGTTAAACGTTCATGGCCTTCTTGACCATCTGCGCCAACATCCCCAACAAGCTCGGAAATTGTTTCTCTATAGTGAAAACCAACTTAATGCTGAGCAGGTGGATAACCTCTTTGTGCCATCATTCTCTCCAAAAGGGAGTAACAAACGTGCTGCAGAAGAATCAGTGTCCTTGAATTTTACACGGTATCTGGAGGATGTGGAGGCTGGAGATGTTACATGCAAACTTGTTGATTTCAATACTAATGAAGAGTCTGAACTGCAAGTCACATTACCTCTTGCAGTTCATCACTGGAAGTTCATCTGTACCCGCACTTGGCCTTGTGGATAATCCACCATTAATCACATTTCAGCATGATTCTTCAGGCCGAAAGCTTTCTGCCAACACCTGCGCCAACACTTTGCGCCTTCCAGTTAACAACACCTTTCTGAACTATGACAGCTTCAAAGTCGAGTTCACTTCCTGTATGGCAGAAGCCCCAGGATTCGGCAATGTGTAGAAAAATATGGCCATGAACATGCCGTCTATCACCATTGGTAATTCCTTAAGACCATGTAGTATAAACTACGTTTCTAGCCAACATACGTAAATATACAGTTATCGGGAATTACCTGTAACTTTGTTTCTTTTCTAGATATTGTAGCGTACACATTGTCCTTATGTGGCCATGCAAGAGAGGCTTTCAGTTATTATTTGATACTAAACACTGCCTTACTCTAATATTCCAATTTAGTACGTTATTGTTCTAAAACAAAGAGATTGGCATTTAATTTGACATGCACCAGCAAACATATTTAGTATGGAGGCACTTTGTTTCTCTTAATTCTTCTGGATCTGATCAGCCAGAGCATGTCACAATTAGAAAGGGAATACTGCAAGTACTCTTACTTGGTTGTTCTCGCAAGGGTGGCAGCAGTTGGCAATACATTTTGCCGGGATATAGTGGATATACCATACCTTGTGGATATGTAATGTCATGATGCATGCATAGTAAGAAGTTGTTTCAAGGTAGTTCCTACTGTTATTGTCTAAGACCCGGTCCACACGATACCGGCATGAAATTCTGCCGACAGAAAATCATCACGGTTTCAACTGTTCACACGATACCGGCAGATTATATTCCGCTTTGACAATATGCTGCACAAATCAGTTAAAATAGACACAATAAAATATCCAATAACAACTTTTGCAGTTTTGTTCATTTAAGGCGTTCACACGGCACTCTGACGGAAGAATTTCGTTCCGTTTTCAAACTCTTACGGTTTGCATACCGTTTTCAAACTCTTACGGTTAGCGTTTCGCATTTTTTTATACCGGCATCGTGTGAACGCAACCCCTAAACGTAAGAATTTCGTTCCGTTTTCAAACTCTGCCGGTATCGTGTGAACGGGGTCTAACTTTTATATTGATATTGATGTTATGGCTGTTATATGCACTATTAATTTTCTGAGGAACTTTGTTTACATTCAAATGTCTTGATAGTTCTAAACAACGTTCTGCTTATTTACATTTAAATTATTTGTAATGCAGAAGTTATTTTTAGTAGTACATATTTGGTGAAGCCTAGATCTCGTATATCACCGCCAGTTAGCGATGACCATTTTAACACGTTGCCGATCCAATGATCACTGATTTCAAATTTTCAATGCCAAGACAATATTGACCATGGCCATTGCCCGTCACAATTTAAATTACAGAGAAAGCAACATCATTTTTTTAATCATTCAACATTGAATTACTTGATTATTTGTGGTTGATCGACGTGCACGTGACATCCGCGTGTTCGCAATATAAAACAAGCTTTCAGAGACACGTTAATTCGTGATTTCAGAGACACGTTAATTCTCACACCTGCGAAATAGTCATCGGGGGTGTACCAGAACCAGGCTAAACGCCATGTTTACTCGGCCTTGTTTATATTTAGTTGCACATAAGACATGCATATATAATGTTAACATTGGTATCAAGTGTTTAGCACTTCAAATTTGTTATAGTTGTATTAAGATATTAATGTTATGAATATCATGTTCTTATATGATTTATGCAAGTTATTCGACATAAATGTACTTGTTTTATAAACTATTACTGTAACTACAATTGTCTCAAGTTAATACATGTACTTATCTATGTACAATCGAATGTATATTGTCCACATGACCAATCGCCGATCCACTTATATACCGAACTTTAATTCTATATGATGTGATGCTGGAGTGATATGTGATAGGCAATGATTAACATACTATTTATGAGGGAGTGACATGGGTGCATGCCCATCCCCACAGTTGAGTTTGGCATACAAGCTTAGAGGCATATGAATGTCACTCTAACATTGCGTCGATTATATGACAGGAACTACTGAGATTCTGTCGCAAAATTCAGCAATGCATATTGTTAGCGAAAAAATTGCAGCTTTACCCAATCATATTCCATTTTTTTTTCATTTTATGCGAACAAATTTTCACCAATTGGAAAACTGGCTTAAATTATTTGTATCAGGGACGTGCTGGGGTATTGAAAATGACTACGAGTGAGCAACATCTGATGGGGCCCAGGCCCAGTGATGGATGGATCAGGACTGGGATGGGGGTGTTACTGATCAAAATGAAACATTTCAGTTGCTAATTAATCTTTCTTTTCCAGACATACCATTTTTCAGTAACTTTCGATTTATAAATGTACCATAATTTGTTCAATTTTTCGGTAACATTTTCGTAAATTTAGATTTTTAAAATATAAATTGTAATATCTTAATCTTGACTTTCAAAATTAAAATCTATATTTTAATTTTTTATCTTTTCCTTTGTTTCGGCATTTTCAAAAAAATTTTCATTTTTTTTCCAACCTCGGAATTTTCAAAAAAATTTTCATTTTTTTTTCATGATGGCAGGGGCCCACAATAAGTTCTCGTCGGCTCATCCATAGCCAGAACGTCCCTAGCCAGCACGTCCCTGATTTGTATATCACTCGTATGTTGCAAATTTGAACTTTTTAGTGAAGGTCTAGCTAGGTCCACACATGATTAGTGATGTCTGAAACAGCCAAACATATTTATTCTGAAAGTGTTTTAAGGTAATGGAACAAATCAAGAGCTTCGTGCCAATCTTTTGGTTCTGATAAAGCTTGAAGATCACAAACATATCTGAAATATTCTTGGTAGTCATTTTGTTCAGCAGGAATGGCAAAATCACTCTGAGAAACAACATCATCTACCTGTGTTTGAAGAATGGGGATTAGTTGATCTTCACCTCCAGAATGTTCTGGAAGGAAAAATAACTCATCAGGTTTTCCTGGGATGGTATCATGTCTCGAAGGTCGAATGTGATGTGTATTCCAGTGTAGCTTGACAAAGTCCAAGTCTTGCTGAATGACTTCGTTGAAGCAAAACCATAGGCATTCTATGTGAAATGTGTTTCCATCCAAGAACACCCCTCTGTCGCGTAGATCCTTAAAGACGTTTATCCACCAAGTTGTGCGGCTTTTTTTAAGATGAGACCACCAGTACTCGATTCGTTGATTGCTAGTTGAAGAGCCATAACGATGAGATTTCTCTCCAGATAATTCATCATCATCGTTTGCTCTTAGGTAACACTGCATGGCAGCCATCGTGCCATTCTCAGTTCCAGGATCTGTTCTTAAAAGTCGAGGACAACCTTGAAGTTCCTTTACACATTCCAGATAATAGTTGGCTATTACAACTGGATTATTGTTAGTTCTTGCAACTTTCAACCACAAAACACGTCGACTATATCCATCAACTGCTCCATGTATTGGAAAGCCAAATGGTTTTAGTTTATCATAACCATCGACGTGCCAACATTTATTTGGGCCATTCGATCTATATGTCCTCCTCTTAAGCCGGTGCCGCTTTCGTTCTTCGGTGCCGTTTGGGTCAAGCTCCTTTAAAATCCTCTGAACCTTGTCTCTTGGAACACACAGTCCGTATTTGAGTCGAAGGGTATGCCACATACTTCGATACCCTGACACACAACTTGGACCTTGTAATTCTTGTTGAATGGCTTCAGCGATATCATTATCATCAATGTCAACAGCATTTTTCCTTTTCAGGCCATATTCCCTTAAATTAACCGTCTCTTCAGTGTTGACATTGAATGATTAATGCTATGATATTTCGACAAAAAACATAAAATCGTTTCGTATTCGTATCCTGCAAGAAAATAGCTTTCTATTGCTTCCCGTTCTTCTTCCTCATTTGCTACAGTTTGAGCTTCAGGGTTTTCAACCAATCTGCCACAAGAAGGGCAAAAGACATTGGTTTCATGAAGTTGATTTCCACACGAAGAACAAAACATGGTTGCGACTTGCGACAAAGTGAAAGACAAGCTTTAGTAACCGCCCGTTTTCATACACACTGCGCATAATTATAAGCCTAGGGAGAATGTGTAGTGAGTATATTGAAATGTGTAGTGAGCATTTTGAAATGTGTAGTGAGAATTTTGAAATGTGTAGTGAGCATATTGAAATGTGTAGTGAGAATTTTGAATTGTGTAGTGAGTATTTTGAAATGTGTATAGTGAGAATATTGAAATGTGTAGTGAGCATTTTGAAATGTGTAGTGAGCATATTGAAATGGGTATAGTGAATATTTTGAAATGTGTAGTGAAAATATTGAAATGTGTAGTGAGCATTTTGAAATGTGTAGTGAGAATTTTGAAATGTGTAGTGAGAATTTTGAAATGTGTAGTGAGTATTTTGTAATGTGTAGTGAGCATTTTGAAATGCGTAGTTTTCTCTGGTTGGCGTTATTTGATTTTGTAACGTGTTTTAGGCCTGCTCTGGGACCTTAACTCGCCGCGAGATAAGGCGAACCTATGCGAGTTAAGGCGACATAGGGCGAGTTAAGGGAAAATCTGGCTACTGACCCTTGCGAGTTAAGGCGAGATAAGGCGAGTTAAGGAAAAATCTGGATATTGTATACACACTATGTATTTTGCTTTGTTTGTGCATTATGCAAAGCAAGTATGCAGTACTTGAAGTAGCAGGCCTAGAAAAGTGTTTTATTCTATATTCTACAATACATGATATGCACAATAACTCGGGACCTGGAAACAAGTTGCATCAAAACGAGGCTGGTAGCCAGATGCCAAATTGTATAATTTGAGGCATTATGCATAGTGTGTATAGAACTGCATTGTTTCCTAAATCTTCACAGTGTCAGTTGCTAACTTGCTATGACTAGCTTCACCACATATTTTGTAATTTTTAGCTGTTTTCATGAATCATGACATTATCAATTAGGTTCCAATTTGTTTGCAAGCAGCAGTCCTTGTATTCAATTTTTAATTTAATTTAATATAATATAAACATTGATATGAAACAAAGAGAAACTAAAAAGCTTGCTAGGAAATTATAGATTATTTACTATTAAATTTAGCACTTTAATAACTATTTTAATTAACGAAATTTCGAACCACAATCACACAATGATATATTAAATGATAACCGACGGTCATAATACTAAAATTAATGCCCAACTTACTTGCTTTGGAAACGTAAATGAATGTAAATGACAATGATTCCTCTGTATAAAACTGTATTGCTGTTTAATAATGTATATTCCTATTTCCTATCAAGCTTTTATATTCAGAATTCACTGCCTCTCATTAACACTAACACTAAGTATTGCAAGCAGATTGTAATTTTTCCGCTGAAGGGAGCAATATTTTCAATATCTGTTCCCAGACAGCATCCCGCCCCCCTGGTAAACGGAATCTTCTTTCCCATCATCGCGGTAATTCCTCTGTGGTCGGGGGGGGGGGAGGTCTACGCAGTCTATAAGTCAGAATCATTCGATTCCGCAAAGGCAATATGGCGGGATATGCATCAACATTTTAAAGTTTTTTTAATATCATGATATTAGAATGAGATTCAAAAAGCCTTGTCCCTACAGATTGTTTCTACTAAATTTAATGTTGGTCACAGACAGGCAAGCACGGTATGTTTACTACAATATTCACCTTTAACTCTGCTTTAAATTACTGTAAATCTATATTTTCACGAATTTTGTGATGGTGATTGTGTATTAAAATATTTCTCCTAGAATTCTGCGCGTATCGTTGGTTCAGTAGCTCTGTTGCCGGTTGTATATAAAAACAGTTCAACGAATAACTTTGCAGTTTGAGCTGTTGATATCACAGAGACCTTTTATACTATAAGTATAACAGTATTTTAGTAAAATTTGATAGTCATGTGATAGGCTGATAGCTGCATAAAAGTTACTTTTGATGTTTTGATATCATTGTATAGTTGAAATAGAATAGATAAGTGATCTGTATATTAGTATATATGGGAATATTAATTTTCAACCATACTTGGCAGTTTGGGTTCTGTTATTAGCCTATGTTCAATTATTTTCACTGTTATTTATTAAATATTTGGTATTACTGTATACAGCATGCCTGCTAAGGCCTGCTTACTGTATTAAAGTAGAGTAGTTGGTGGAATTATTTGATCAATACAGCTTTATGGCATCACAGAGAATGTAGTAAATTAAAAAAATGATAACATTTCAGATAATCAGGCTTACATACTTGTATGTTGATGTCAGTTGCAATGCCAAACTCATAGAATATATAAGTGAGTGTTGTGAGTCTAAAGAATTTTGATTGACAGTATTTGTGTTTTACTGACGTGTAACTGTGCCGGTTTTTATTGCAAAATAGGGCGAGTTTAGGCGAGTTAAGCAAAATTCTGTCAACTTCTCATTGCGAGATAAGGCGATATTGGGCGAGTTAAGCAAAATTCGATCTTTTTCTATTGCGAGATAGGGCGAGATAAGGCGAGTTAAGGCTAGTTAAGGTCCCAGAGTAGGCCTTGTTTTGATACTTGTTTATGTAGTGACACGTACAGGCCACCGTAGATTAGCGCCTTGCCGGTCTTTGAACGTGACAACGATTTGGACACAAGACAAATACACATTGAATGTCCATTTTATTGATTCTAAAACTGTTTATAGACATATTGCTCTAGATTTTTTTTAAAAGATTATCATCGTTTATGTTAAACACCAGGAAGACAAAAGATAACGTACAAAATTGTTTGAAATCGACAGTGCACAGCTGACATACGACAATTCACAACTGCATGAATTTCCTTTTTTGTCGATCTGCACGAGTACCTGTTTGTTGAAGCCAAAATATTGCACAGTATCTCCTATAAATTCTATCGCCATTTACCCTCTCCCCTTAAATGCAAAGGAATGACAGCAGAAAAGGTTTAGCAAAGTATTTTTTATTACATCTGGTATAAAGTGTCCTTCGTTTTATCAGGATATACATAATTCATAAACTGTATATGCACACGAAGTCTCGCTTATATTAATGAGTTTTACTGTAACAAACCTTTTAAAATTTCCATGGATAGATAGGTTGTTTGCCTCCAGTATTGTTTGGTAAAACAGACTAAACTTCTAAAATATTGGTTACGGAATACGCCGATAAAGATTAAAGTTGATTTAAATGTTGATAACTCACTGCTGAAGCTCAACGATCAAGAAAAATAATGTCGAAGTGTCCATTATACAATTAATTAATTATATATTAATCCATTATACAAGTCTAAAGAAGCTGGATTATTCTCCAATAAAGCCCTCAATGGACAATGCCAATGTCAATGAAAGGTCTAATATTATAAATGTTGCAAATTACTGTATACACAAAATATGAAATAATTTATATAAAGTACAATACCAGTGTCTGGTGCATATATCGTCCTAGATATTCAAGTTGTACCGCACGCACGGAGGAGTCTTGGCGTTTGTGTGATAACAGATAGCTAGCTACACTTCGACATTATTTTTCTTGATCGTTGAGCTTCAGCAATGTAAATGAAATGAATTTTATAACCAGTCCATAACGGGTTTCAATCCTGTGTTTTTACAGTCAAAATAGCACTATTGTTTACACATGTTGGGCGATGTTTGGGAGATCAGAGGATCCCGTTATAAAATAAATCTTTTGTTTTGAATATCGGACAGGATACACTTCAACTATAAAGAACCATATCGTTCGTTTACTACCGTTTGATCAATCAGTCTGTGTGTAGAAGGTATGTATGTTTCTACGGCGATACGTGCTAAACTTCGCAAGCCAGGCCCGTGTGGAGTGTTTTCTTTGCAAGTGAAATATGATCCAGCTTCTCGCTTGAAATGTAACGCAATACTTATTATTGATGACATTCAGTATAGCAGGAAGTCTTTGTCATGATCGGTACGAATCTAGAACGTTCCTCTCACAATCTCTTGTTGCAAATTACATTTTTATCACCCGAAATTATAACACATAAAGTTGCAATTTTCCAATGTTGCAACAAACACGCTCCTCTTCCTCCCGACCCATAGTCAAATTATACATTTACCCCCAGATTTGGGTGTGACGTCATCAGCCCCGACCATGGTCTTTGCTTCCCAAGAGCAAAGAGCCTGGGAACGAGGTTGAAGCAACCTATATTTTCGAAATTACTCACCACCTGATGATTCATATACGGATGAAACAGACTGTTGTGTTTTTTTTTAGGCAAAACGAAAAACTATATGATTACGCTCTATCTATATGGTATTGAGCACTGTTTGTGTTTTGTAAACCAAAAACCTGCAACTGCATGTGTACATATAAAAATGTCATCACGTATCTAGACGTGTATACCAAGCTGCACTGACGAGGCGTGGTACGCCGAAACATGCATGTCCGAAACATGCATGTGTGAACTCAATCCATTCATTAATTACTTATCATAGTAAAGGCTACTAAACGATGGTACATGTACTGATGAATCATACTAAATAGTATAAGAAAGTGAGAAATTGCGATGCCGACAAAGTTGACCTCATTATCTATGTTTTGTCTGGTTTATGTAAAAAACGGTCACGTGTGCATGTATTGTTTTTTTTCCGCCCAATCAACCAATAGCAAATTTGTGTTGGTTTAATTACCCAGTCGTGATATTACCCAATTGGTAAAACATATAGCTTCTGTATATATTCGTTGCTCTAATGAAGATACAATACACACGTGACGATCATGCGCCAAATTTTGAATAAACCAGGGGCCGGTTGTATAAAAACGTAGTTAGCGCTAACTGCAGTTTAAAAGTAGTTAAAAAGCCTTAAAATATAGTTAACTTTAACCACGTAGATAAGCCTGTTGTATAAAAGTGTAGTTAGCCTTAACTGCAATTAAAAAGTAGTTAAAATTAACTATGCTTTAGGGTATAGTTAACTGTCCAAAACGTAGTTAAAAATGGTGTTTGTATGGGGGTGAACAACATTTTTCAGTAAAACAATAATGAAAAGGAACGCTTACCTGAGATTTTCAAACACTATCTTCCCTGTGAATGTTTCCTGACAATATAAACTCTTCAAACGCTATAACTTTGGTGTTTTTACGAAAATAGAACATATTTTTGCACAGGACGATTTCTCGAAGACGAAGTATGGTCCATTACACCAAGAAACACTGATATATAGTAGCCAAACAGCTAGACCTTGGTTTAATGTAGACATCTCAAGGAAAAACTGCATTCTTTTATGATTTTTGTGGCGGTTTTTCTTTGTTTTCTTGTTTATTTTTCACTGTTTTCTAGTGTTTTGAATAACATTCACGCCTATTTGCAAAATACGAGTCCACAATCATGTTGAAAATGTGTGTCAGCGGTCGGTTAACTAAGTGATTAGTTAACTATCCGACTAACTACGTTTTGTGCAACGCAGTTAAGTCATGTAGTTAACTAATTACAGTTAAGGATTTAACTACAGTGATTAACGCTAACTACAGTTAGCGCTAATTACGTTTTTATACAACCGCCACAGGACGATAAACATATAGCTATCGAGGTATATTTGTCCATTTTTTGAGTAAATAGAATATCACACTTTGCTCTGCATGGAACGCGTGTTGTGAAAATAATGTATATGCGTGCCAATTGTTTGAGAGTTATGATTAGAAAGACAGATATGTTAGTGTTGCGATGGAGGAAAATTATTAAATATATGTTACACTGCGAGTAGTGTAGGTATAACAGAAATTTATATCCATATTTATATTTAGAAATTTATATCCATATTATATCCAGGGGATGCAAAATTTATATCTATACTGTAAGTAAATGAAAATTAACTAAGAAGGACATATATGTTCCTGTCGTGTGGATGAAAGTAAACTATTTATTTGACTTTTGGTAAACTTGATTTCCACCTTATTTCATATCATCATTGAAAGCGTTGTATAATGAATGTAGAAACATATCCAACACTAAACGTGGTAAAACGTGATAACATGATTTATTTGATCAGAAAACGGCTATTTACCAAAACTTGCGAACGTTCTCAGGTTTTAGCTACTGTTATGGAACATAGCTACAAAGTTTAAAAAGAAATGAAATCATGGACATTCTAAACGTTGTCTACACAGCTATTTTCATACAAGCAATTGTCACTTTTCGCAGGTTATTATAGAATAGTCCGTTTAAAACACAAAATTTCAGAAAAATTGACTGAAGGGAAAATCAGTTATTGCATTACAAACCTTGGGTGGTCAAGTAAAATTTTTGCTGACATGATAGAATTTCAAAGTGACAAGACACTTCAATTCGTTACTTGTCCCATGCTTAAACAACTGCATGCAGAGAGCCACCTTATTTTGGAACCTAAATAACTCTTCAATTATCTTATCGTATGCATATATCGGGATAAGTAGTATTTAAAAGACGAGGAGTGTTTTATTATATTCAAAACGCGAGGCGCAGCCGAGCGTTTTGTGTAGATATGATAAAACGCGAGTTCGGGTGTTTTAAATAGGTTGAAATACGACTACGAAAGAATACTAATTAACAAGAACAATTATATAATCTACTAATTAGGAAAAGAGTACTAATGAAGATGAGTTTTATCAGATATAAAGTCACTCCACGTGACATATTATGGCTGACATGATTTGCCACAAGGTTTATGAATTCTTAATGACTATTTTAATGACATTTACAGTACCTGACTTAAAAGACACCAAACATAGTTAATTAGCAAAGACGAAACACAGCCTAAATTTATCATCTAGTCCTGTACTCGAAAACAACCACTGCGATAGTTGTGAATATTGGTTGATGTTGTACGAAAAAAGTAGGGTGCAAGTGATTCAGTTTGTGTTTTGGTAAGTTTCTAAAGAAGTGCAAAATTTTTACTTTTTCCTATTTGTTAGATCTATTATTTTTATCCCAGTGTTCGCCTGCTAGATATGAACTTGTTTTGCTCATGATTCGCACGAGATGCGCCAAATGCGTACTTAATTCAAGTTTACCCGGTTCCATTCATTGAAATCTAATATTGTTTCATTAGCAATGCTCAAACAGGCCTTGTGTCATATATACGTACCAGACGTGTGGGCATAAAAGAAAAATCGAGCAAAAAAACCCGAATGGTCAAGCGAGCTAGATTTACCTGGCGTATTAACGTACTTATGTACTTATACGCACGTTTATTATTGGCTACGTAATTTCGGAACTAAAAAAAAGGAAAACGCAACAATTTAAATATTTGTGCCAATGCATGAAATGAATATTTACCTGTTAACGTACTCAAAATGCGAGCAGGTAGTCAATAATTTCAATGCCACCTGTTGCGACCCAGAAACAGCAGTGTTAAGAAATGTTTCCAACATAATAAGAAAGTGACGCGATTACTCTAACGTTATGCATGTATTTCTCGATTTAGAAAGAATAATTGAAATAAGAAAGAATTAAAGTTCGGTCGAGTTCTAGTGTAGCTATATTCGGCATACATGCAAAAGTACTGTCGGCATAATCTTCCATGACGATGATTTTTTATTGTTTTTGTACATTGTACTGTTCATAATCGGAAGTTGCAAGTCAAAAGTAAAGCATTTTTCGCCTTGGACTGGCGCCATCGAATGAAGCAATGCATGTTCAGTCGTTTTATTTAAATTGCCTTATATTGTCTAGACACTTGTTTACGTTTGTAAAAAAGTATTTTCTATAACAGATTGGTTTCAACAACAGTCAGAATTTACAAATGAGTTTGAACATATCAATATTGATGAAATGAACAAATGTTTATCAAATTAAATTCAACGTTTCTGTAAGAAAACATGATGGGAATCACTACAAATGATGATGGCGATACGAACGGCTTTGGATATCAGACCCTAAAGTAACATTTTTGGAAAATTAAGATGTGTTATATTTTTTTTCTCAAATAATCTTCTGTGTAATTATACTAAAAGAATTGTTCGCCTCAGGCTCGGTGAATAACGCTGAATGGAAACCTCGACTTCGCCTCTGTTTTTATTCAGCGATATTCACCACGCTTCCGGCGAATAGTGACATAATTATAAATGCTATTATTGGCACAGTATGCCATTAATGGATGACCTAAAGTGCATTGAACAGTCATATAAATTATTTTGTTAAATACATCAAAGCGAATTTGGCAGTTGAAACGGCTTACGTTGATAAATCTTTGGATCACTGCTTCGATTAATACCGCATGCATTAGTAAGATCCATCCTATATAGAATACCACTGCCAAGCTTTTTACTCAACAATTTCAAACTAATCTTATCAGTGGATATAGAAGGAGTTCGAACGATGCAATAGAACGATTGAAAATGGCATTACTAAAGAACAGAAGAGAGAAATTATGCCAAGAACTTTGTACTTTTATTCAAAATAACAGAATACATAAACTTTGCCATCTGCTACCTGAACATAATCTATCAATTCATATCAATTTTAGACAGTTGAGAAGATACAATTTATAGTTAAAAACTCATATTATTTTTAGAGACTTGAGAAGATATATACTTTCAATTATAATTAAATACGAAGAGATTAAGAGCTCTTATTTTTAAGGACTTGCTTGCGTAGGCATGCGAGCAAAATCCTTAAAGTTATAGGGTTTGTAAGATAGATACTAACACGATTTTGTAAGATAATTACACAAATTGTCAATAGTTTTAGGGCACAGATAAATGATTAACATATTTGATGTAAACTATGCTGTAATTCAGTTGTACTGCGAAAATTGATTTAACAAACGATTTATCTTCATGCATGTCTACTTATCATATTATATTCTTTAAACATAAGGGATTTAAATTATATATTTGAACCTACGTAACTCTTCGATTATATTTAAATACATTTTATTAAACCTAACTAGGAACAGCGGCGAGAAATACAACATAATATGCCCCCCCCCCCCCGCAGGAATAAAATCCGCAACCCTGTGGTTCTGATTCAGCGCCCTAAGCAACTGAGCTACAGAGGCCAGTTGTCGAGTTATAACTACAAGTTCATTTATATATACTAGGCTGCCGCCTGCCAAACCGGAGAACAGGAAGAAGACCCACAACTTTCGACAGAACGTTGACTGGCTCTTTTCGCTCGATGCGTCTGTAGCGAGAATCGAACCCACGAAGTCAGATCTTGCTCTGTCGACTGCGCCACTTACTCAATAATTCAAAACTACGTATCGTTTGTGGATATAGGGCGAGTACAAAGGCGATCCTGAAAAACCGAAAACGGAACAACACAAAAGAACAAAAGAGAGAAATTATGCCAAAAACTTTTTACTTCCGTTGAGGATAACAGAGGACACAAACTTTGCCATCAAGCTGAAAAAAATCTATCAACTCATATTATTTTTATGGAGATGAGAAGATATAAACTTCCAATTATAATTAAATACAAAGATTAAAAACTCTTGTTTTTAATTACGCATCCCAATCGAAATTGAAAACAGTTTTGGTAGAGTCTTAACAAATAAATTATTAATCATATTTAATGTAAACATATTTGATGTCAGTTGTAATTCAGTGGTTCTGCGAACATTTGTTTAATGAACCATCTATCTATCTGTCTATAATATATTCTTCCAATATATGGATTAATGTTCTAATTTAGAGCCTATAGATAAATTCTTCGATTATCTAATGATTTGTATATAAAGCGAAAATAAACAAGTTGTACGATAATAATATTTATAGTATTTAAATTTATAGTCTGCATGCATGCATGCATAATGAACAAAGACGTAAAACAGCCAATAGTTATTTATCATTTGCTATCGAAATTATCACTGCTCTAAAACAAGCTCTGCGTTCGGAGTAAATATTCGTTGATACCGTCCAAAACTAAAGCAAGTAACAAGTAAGTCAATTAATATTTCCTAATTCTAAACCATATAGTTTTAAACTTTATCAAGACATTGCATGTTGACAAATTCGTCCTACTCAATTTTCTCGATATAGCATAAACTAGCCATACATTTCGGCGAACATTACTTCGGCTCCTTATATGACGTATCTTCTTTGTTATAGACTTCTTGGAGTCGTTACAAGTCTCCGTTTAATCATACTCGGCCTCGTTGTCTAGCATGAGTTTGACCTTTGAATTTACTGTGTGAGTAAATTATTAAACATGAAAGAAATTAATTTTATAAGTATACGAAAAATTTGTGATACCTGTCCAATCTTAACCCTAATCTAAACCCGACGCCACCCTCTAAACCTAATCTGATCAACTACCCTACATCTACGCGTCCAGCCTCCCTGTAAGCGGCTTTAAATCTATTACATTTATATAAAAAAGTCTTCTGAACGCTTGTGATTTTATGTGGAGTCCCGAAATCAGTCTAATAGTGCAGCCTTAACTGCAATTTCAATGGAGACAGAAGGAGTCTTGAGAGTTTTGTAATCTTTTTGGAAGGTTTTTAAATTAAACAAACATCTATACAGAAAAGAACCCAATAATTACTGTTCTCCTCAGAGAGAACGAGAAAACATGTCGAAATAGGGCAAGAGAGAAGTTTGGATAAGAGTGCCTCGACTTTTACATATAACGTCTACCGTAAACCTAGCTTGACTGATATTTGAAATAACGAACTTTTGGCCACTTGAGAAATGGCCTGCAAACTGCGAGTGAGAACGAGAAAACAGGTCAAAATCGGGCAAGAGAGAAGTTTGGACAAGAGCACCTCGACTTCTACATATGACGTCTACTGTAAACCTAGCTTGATTGAAATGACGAACTTTTTGCCACTTCAGAAATGGCCGGCAAACTGCGAGTTTCTTATATTAAACAACCCGCCTCTTTTTCCTTGTCGAGCTCTTAAATTTCTACTCAGGCGGAAGTACAAAAAAACCCATTCCTAATGTAGGGTGGGCCTATCAGTTATTTACAGTAATTGGTATATTATAACATTCAGAAGAAAGGCCTAAAGCTACTAAGGTACATGCAAATTCACAATTTAACAACAATTTCAAACATATACGTGCATGGATTTCCCAGGCGCAAAACAAGAAATAATCATGTAAAATCTAACACAAAACGATCCGTAAAACGTTATTAAATGTTCACTGAAATTGAATTGTTTTTTATGCCGATGAACTCTTCATCTTATTGCTTGTATTTTGAAATTAAATAATTTATATCATGGCGGGAGTTCATGATTAATGATTTGCTCTCCATTTTTTTCGCTTTTATAAAAAATAAAACAAGTTAATTGACAGAAGAATTTACATGCAATGAAAAGGAAGCTGGACAATGTTGATTGAGATCCTTTAGGTGAAAATGAACGACAAAATCAAACCTGAACATTTATCATTTCGTTAAAATTTGTTAAAAGTGATTTACAACTTTTTGTGGAACAATTTCAAAGCTTTTTGTCGTATTTTTTTAAATATTTGCTTCCATCACTCCAAGTAAACAGCCACATTTCTGAATTTAGTGAAATTAACATCAATAAAAGGATAGCAGTTCGTGTATGACGCTTTTTCACCGTTTAAAGCAACATACGCTACAATATTCATAGACGATAACATTAAAATAAAACTTATCTATGATTCGCGATTTCCTATAGTCAACTAATTTTCCTCATTTCTTCAGTGCAAAATTCCTTCAAAGCTCACAACTTCGTAAACCCAGGGCCTGCCTGCGCGATTTTCTAATTAGGACGCCAAAGCGGGCGAGGCCCTGCTAAACGCTGGTCATGTGACTCCAAAATATTCCCAGGATCTGGGTATATTTCTGTATATCATTAGAACTCAAATTTGCAGTCAGGGGGAGTGAATGCTAAAAGTCCTGATTTTCTAAAATATGGCGAGTGAATTATAAATATGTTTCTTGTACTATATGTCATGATTTCCATCAAGTAAAAGGTACAGTATGAATTTGAAAATGTCTAGTCGTATTTTATTGTTACAATTTAGCAGATTTCCACGAGTTTCTAATTTAACACACTTGCGAATAACCCTAATAAATCCTGTGGGATTGAGTTGATAGACCCATTTATTATTAAACAACTTGCTGGACAATTAATTCCTATTTTGTCAAATATTTTCAATAAATCCATGAATACTGGAAGAGTGCCTGGCAAATTAAAAGAGGCTATGATAACCCCTTTTTACAAATTTAATGACCGTAAATATTTTGGTAACTATAGGTCAATTTCCATTCTTCCAATATTTTCAAAAACATTGGAAAGAATTATTTACAACAGATTATTAACATATTTGGATAAAATGCATATCCTATCCAGCAATCAGTATGGCTACAGAAAGAATTACTCAACTTATATGGATTTAATTGAATTAATCGATAGTCTCGCTCATTCGATTGATAACAATGAATATACTATAGGCATATTTGTTGATTTATCAAAAGCGTTTGATACTGTGGACCACAAAATTCTTATAAGTTCACTAAACCATTACGGTATCAGAGGTACTCCACTTATGTGGTTTAAAGATGATTTAAGTGATAGGAAACAAACAGTGAAATTTAGTGAGACGATCTCCTCAAAAATGACTGTAACATGTGGTGTTCCCCAAGTTCTATCCTTGGACCACTTTTATTTCCTCTTTACATTAACGATATTGCCAATTGCTCAAATCTTCTCAATTTTATTATGTTTGCTGATGATACTAGTTTATATCATTCCGACAGAGATTTTGCCACACTTATCGGTAAAATTAATTGTGAACTTGATAAACTGTCGGACTGGTTTAAAGCAAATAAACTTTCGCTCAATTTAAAGAAAACGAATTATATACTCTTTCGTGCAAGAAATAAACCCATTCCAAGTCGAGACAATTTAAATGAGTTTATTGACTCTATAAAAATTAAAAGGTTAGCTACCACTAAATTTCTTGGAACTTATATAAACGAACATTTAGACAGGAAACCACATATTTCACACGTTGCCCTAAAGATGGCAAAACTATTGGCATCGTAAATAGAGTAAAGCATTTTATTACTAGCCCCACCAGAAGAACTTTATGTTGCTCCTTGGTGTTACCATATATACAATACTGTAATATAGTTTGGGCTAAAACATACCCTACTAATCGTGATAAAATCATGAAATTGCATAAACGTGTAGTGCGTATTATTGATAATCCTGGATATCGAGATCCGACTGAACCACTTTTTTAAAAATTCAAGTTACTTGATGTTTATGCCATTAATTAATTTCAAACTGGTTCTTTCATGTATAAATGCTTTGACAAGTCCTCAATTTTCCCGCAACATTTTAGAAATTACTTTATCCTTAACAAAGACAGAACAACAACAAAGTCAAAACAACAACAAGAAAACTAACTCTTAAACATAGTGCATCATTGTTTTGGAACTCACTAGATAACTATATAATCGAAGCTGCTACGTTATTTATTTTTCAGGCTAGACTAAGATCCCATATTCATAAATATTGAGTATAATATAGTTTATGATTTATTTCTATATAGCCATATCTCCTTTTTCACTCAATCATTTGAATACATAGATTTATAGATTTTTAAAAATCTCCTTCCCAGTTCCGTTGGTTGATCAGTGCTTGTTCAAGTTCTCTCGAGCTTTCTCACTGCTCAACCTTCTGCACAACAATATTTTTTTATATATTTCAACAAATAATGGATTGTAAAATGGGACCAATATTTATTATAGCATATGAGTATAAGGGAATCTGTAATGTAATGTTGTCTGGTAAATAAAATTGATTGATCTATAAATATATATATATATATATATATATATATATATATATATATATATATATATATATATATATATATATATATATATATATAATATACTTGCGCAATACCTAAAATTAGATCATGCATTTGAATAAATTATTAAATTATTATTATTATTATTACTGCTACCTATCACTGGCAGCTGCATCTGATAGCAGTAGTGGAAGTCAAATCTGATCACTCTATTATCCTTTGAAGATTTACACTAGTCACTTCATTTCAGGAATGCACATGCACAAGCCATGGAGTGTGGACGTGGTTTAAACAGCTCCTTAAAATATAGCTTGTTTTCTATCATTTTGGTTTCTTTTATACTACAAGTATGTATGCAGTATAGGGAAAACAATCACGTTAACATTATTAATGTTAAGTTGCACCGCGACAGTACAACTCGAGGAATTCGATATGTTATTCACAAACAATCTGGTCGGGCGTTCTTCTCTGGTCGAATATCCTATTCTACAAATGGTACAAGTTGCTATCAGTTGCATCGCTTAGTGCTATCTGGCGATGTTCATTCTAACCCTGGTCCAATTACAACCAAGCACTGTAAGCATATCTGCAAAGAGTGTGAGAAGACAATTCGAAAAAATCAGAAAGCTGTGTCTTGTGCAACGTGTCAAGGTTGGTCGCACATGAAATGCCTTGGTATTTCTAAGGAAGTTGTTGAGTATTTAACTTGTTATCCTAACGACTGGACTTGTACGTTTTGTGCACTACCCCAATTAAATGACTCTTATTTCTTTGAGCAAAATGATCACTTGTTATCAACCCCGAATAGTTTCGTAGAAGATGTTGACTCTACTAATGTTGGCGCTAATGTTGTGGATAATACGACCTCAACATCACTGTCGGGCACTGAGTGGTTCAATATGAACATAAATGATTATTATAAAAACAACCTGAAGATTGGTCATTTAAATGTCAACAGTATATACTCTAAAGCCGGTGAAGTTTTTAATTTACTAAACGATTGTAAGTTTGATATCCTTGCCATTAGTGAAACCAAGATCGATGCCTCAGTGTCTAATTCGTTACTAACGCATTCAGACTATCGTATAATTAGACAGGACAGAAAAAAAGGAGCTGGTGGCTTACTTGTCTATATACGCTCAAACGTAACTGCACGACGTCAAATTAAACTTGAGCCAGAGGGTATTGAAGCAATATGCATCGATATTAAAGGCTGTGGGGGAAATTGGTTTTTACTCTGTATATGCTATCGGTCACCAGGAAAATGCAAAATAATAGACTTTGTCTCCTCTTGCTCAGCTGCAGCTGAACGGTTGTATGCTAAGCGAAAGGAAATTATATTTATGGGCGATTTTAACATGAATATGTTACAGGGTGATGATAATCCCTTGGGCCCGAGCAAAGAACTTTCAAATTTTTGTGATCAATTCTGCCTAACTAATATGATCCTGAATCCAACCAGAGTGACAAATACAAGTAAAAGTCTGCTAGATGTTATCTTAGTTTCTCATCCGGAACGTTTTGCAGTTAGTGGCAATATGCAGTTGGGAATAAGTGACCATGACCTAGTGTACCTCGTTCGGAAACAAAAACTACCAAAACCTAAAGCAAGGCTAATTGAATTTCGGTCATTAAAGAACTTTGATCGGTCTGCTTTTATCTCGGATCTCAAGAATGTACCATGGGACAGTTCCTACGTGTATGATGATGTAGATGATGTTTGGCTTCACTGGTCATCATTGTTTAAGCAAGTGCTTGACAATCATGCGCCAGTGAAGCAGGTCCGACTGAGAAGTAATCAATTACCCTGGATTAATGCAGATATCCAAAACCAAATTCGACTAAGAAACCGTTTATATAGGAAATTTAGAAAAATCTCCTCAGAAGAAAACTGGGTTAAGTATAAAACCCAGCGTAATTTGGTCACAAACATGAAAAGAAAAGCAGTCAAGCAATTTTGTTTAGAAGCAACTTCAACGCCGAACTCGTCAACTGGTTTATTTTGGAAAAAAATGAAACCACTTTTACCAACCAATAAATCTAATAATGACGGAACGACAATACAACTTATTGAGAATGGGTTAATGATTACAGATCCTAGCTCAGTATTCAATAACTATTTTACGACCCCGTCTGTTGAAGAAACAATCTTAAACTTGACTGAACAAGATTTTGAGAATCATATTAGTGTACGGGCAATCAAGGAACAATGTCATGATTTGTATTTCTCATTCCAGCAAATAAACATGGAGCTCGTTAGCAACCTTTTGTTAAACTTAAATGAAAAGAAAGCTAGTGGGCCTGACGGTTATCAACCAAAGTTACTTAAAGCCTCAGCTCCTGCAATTGCTTTGCCACTCACTAATTTATTTAATTATTGTATTGACAAAAGTACCTGGCCGACTGCATGGAAACAAGGAGATGTCACCCCTGTTCACAAAAAAGATGACGCCGTCATTAAAACAAATTATAGACCGATCACCATCTTATCATGCATTCCAAAGCTTTTTGAGAAAATTAAATCCGATCAGTTATACAAACATTTCTCTCCAATCTTTTCAAATAACATGTCGGGTTTTCTTCGTGGTCATTCGTGTGCAACGGCACTTATTAAGCTGACAGGCGACTTTAGAAAAGCTCTTGATCAAAAGAAGGATGTGGGAGTTGTAGCAATCGATTTGTCGAAAGCATTTGACTCCATATGCCACAATTTGTTGATTGCAAAGCTAAAGGCTTACGGTCTGCAGGACAATGCGTTGATGTTAATGAAATCTTATTTATTTAAACGAAGCCAGAGGGTGAAATGTAATGGAGTCTTCTCAGATTGGCTGACCTTAAAATGTGGTGTCCCTCAAGGAAGCTTATTGGGACCCTTACTATTTAATGTTTTCATCAATGATCTTAACTGGTATGTCGACAACACATCACTCCGTCTTTATGCAGATGACACCACCCAGTACTCATCTGATACATGTCCTGCCATACTAGAGTACTCGCTTAACCGTGATCTACAGAAATTATCGTATTGGTTCAAAGAAAACTTCTTACAAATCAACAATGGCAAAACAAAAGCAATGATCTTAGGGAAATCTGACTATTCGTACAACCTTAAAATTGACAACCAGCCATTAGAAATTCACGAATCTTTGAGAACACTTGGAGTGACACTGGACAGAAATTTAGATTTCAAGCAGCATATTGACGAGATATTAAAGAAATCCTATGGAATGATTGCTGCTCTACGACGCCTTAAGAGAATGGTTCCGATAAATATTATAACAAGTTTGTACAAAGCGTATGTTTTACCTAATATGGAATACTGTTCTCAACTACTTATTGGAGTGAACAAAACATTGTGCAAGAAACTTGAGAAAGCCAATTGCTACGGTCTAAGAACTGTAATGAACTTGGGTAACAATATCACCTATGACGAACTTTTAGAACTAGCATCAATGCGATCACCCCAACGTAGGAGACTTGAACAATCTTTAATTTTATTCTTCAAGAGTTTTAGAAATGAAGGTCCTGTATATATATCTGACTTTTTTAAAAGACGTAAATCTACCTATAACCTGAGACATAATGGTCTTAATGTTGAACAGGATAGAAACAATAGCCGTTACTTGCATAATTCCTATAGCTATATTGTAGGGCATGTATGGAACAATTTACCGTTCCCTGCAAAATCTGCATCGACATTAGCAGAATTTAAGTTACATCTAAAACATTGCGAATTTATAGGATGTCAGTGTCAATCTTGTATATAATTTCCTAGATTTGTACCTTATTAGTCTCGTTTACCTTTTAATAACTTAATTAATATCCATAATGTAGATATGTATTTATAGTATTATAGTATTATAGTATGTCGTGCACTTTTTACATGAGCCTCCGGCTCGGATGATTGGGTAACCGCATCCTGTGTAAACGACTCTAAATAAATCATTACATTACATTACATTACATTACATTACATTGCAAACTTGCTTAGCACAACTAGCTTTTCAGGTTGGATGTCAAGCTATTAGGAATATGTGAATTAATTATAGAAAACTGCATGCTGGCTTTCGTTTTGGTTGCCTAAGCAAAAATCATCACACTGATTATCATGCCGATGTGGTTGTTTAAAAGTTCAGGTGAAGACTGAATATCTTTTGTCCTGCATGGCACCAGGGACAGACCAGTTTTCACGTGTTTATGTAAAATTGACTGCTTTATGTGAGATTCCAATAACCGGGCAAGTATGGCTGATTAATACAATCTACACAGCAAGATTTCAGGGCTCTTCCTCTGAAACAATCTTTGGTTGCGATATCACCCAGCAGGTGCAAAAATGCATTACTTTTGTCAAGGATCATTTGGCATGCTCATCGGCTATGTTAGTTAAAAACGTTAATATCACCACAGTTGTACATATACTGTACAACGGCAATCCTTTTACATCATATTTACATATTGTTGGAATTAATATCCATGTCCTTGCATGTATCAGGAATTCGCATGAACTTATCCCTAGCTTGAAGCTAAAGTATTTCAGCATATCTGTTGCATCAGTTGTCCTCCTACTAACTAACTTTTAGTCCTTAAACAAGACAATAAAAGAGTTCAATTTCAATGTATTTATTTACTTCTCAATAAAATACTAAACCATATTGAAACCTGTACAAGTGACAGTATAACGAGCAATATATCCAAGTCATTTGAACATTGCATATACCATAGTTAATAGAGGACAGGGTTTGGAAGCTGGGGGCGTGGCCAAATTATGTTATTGTTCTCTGTCACGTGACAATGCGGGTGCATCAAAATCTATTTAGTATTAGGAGAATGTATTACAGAGGAGGCTGTAGTACTTGAAAAACGTCTTTTATAGAATGAATATCCAAACACCAGGAGCAAATTGCTTCATATATGGTTGCAGGACTAGTAGAAAACACTTTGGTGTTAGTATTTTTTGAATTCCAAAAAAAGACGATGATTTATCGACGAAAATTCGGGAAGCGTTGGCGAGGCTTGTCACAAAGGACGTTGGATCGCGAGAAATCGCGAGATAGATGCAAATTTACGAAATAAAATCGCTCAACAAACACTTCACGTTTGTGAAAGACACTTTGGGAAGACCCGGCCGAAACATGTAAGTTATTTTCTTATGACTAACTAACAGGTTTCTCTGGTAGAGGTATTGATATTTCGGTATGGACGCTTGAAAGTTACAGCTTAATTAACAGAAGCTTGCCGTATATATTTCATGTATCAAATGATCAAATTTGTAGCCATATGGAGCAGGAAATATATATTTATTAATGATTTGCATAAAAGTACGTTTCGGTCATATTTATATAACAGTTAATCCTTATGTTCATAAAATGAAGGTATACATAAATTCAGAACACTGTCACTGAGGACAGTAGAAACATTTTCGTATATAGTATTAAAACAAAGTATTATACAATATTCAAAGGCTATTTTAATAGCAAAAAGTGGAAAAATAAAGTAACAGGATTTTGTTTGGGCATGTCATGAATTTGGTGCCCACAGCCTTGTGGGCCCCTCACCAGCAACATAAGCAAATGGTCCAAGCTCTTCTGATTTCACTGATAATTACTAGTGGAATAAAAACATTAAATAATATTTCTGGGTATATAATCCTTTGTACATAGGTAAAATCTTCTGGCATCCAACAGTTGGTCAACAAAGCGTTTGGAGAGGAATAAGAACTAAGTTTAATACCCTTACGTCAATATTGTACCATACAGAGGAAATATCAAATAAGAAATATGAAATATCATGGAATCTTGGAATAACACTTCTATTTTGATGTGACAGAACGATCAAAACTAACAAATTACATGTCAGTAGACATTGAATCACTGTATAGTTGGTCAATATCTGGACTTGTAATTGACAATTCGACGTAAGCCTTAGGACCTGCTATTTATGACATTCATATCTAGACTATTATTGTCTAATATACAGTAAGATATTTTATACTGGTATTAATTAAAGCATGCCGTTTGTTTAGTGTTTTATATAATATAAACTTTAGAATATCTGCTGGTTAGCAAAATCAACCGTTCGGGCATATTCACCAGCATCAAAAGCACAACTTTATCTTCTCTGCATGGATGAAGATATTCTTTCCTTTCCCCTACCTCTCGAATGATCGACAATGCCTTCTCATGCGTGATAAGTCATATATAAACATGGGTTTTGTTTTCCTAGTTTGGCAGTACTAGCTATGTAGAATTTGTCCAGTGCTTTATAATACTGCGTCGATATTCGCACAGCAGTTGCTTTAATCTTTCAATCTAAACGACAAATATAAGTCCAATATTAAGTCTAAGGCATCTCACTACATATTGTTTAATTGGACACAGTATAAAGGACTTACTTCTTCTACTGAACGCGATATTTCTTCAGTTAATTCATCCACGTTGATTTGCAGCAGCTAAATAGTTCGATGAAAATCGCCTCCGTCGTTGTATCTGCGTCTCCAGCACCCAGAATTGGAAGAATTTTGCTTTCTGAATCGTATGCCGAACTTGTCGAAGCCATAACAAGAACAACCATGCCTTATTTTAAAATTTATAAGCACAATAGCATATTTCTGTAATACTACGCTATAGTAATTTCTGAATTTGATGCACCCGAAATGTCACGTGACGTACCTTTCCAACATCTGAAATTAATTAGCTCGAAAGCCTTTGAAGTTTGCCGGCCTTCCAAACCCTATCCTCTATTAACTATGCATAAACGAACAAATCTCACGGAGTTTTTTCGACAGAAGTATTGATCCGATTGTTCGATCGCAGTATTTTTAAAGAAGCTTGAAATGCAAAACTCACAGGGAAGATTGAAAAATTTTGGAGATGAAAACTGTTGGGCTTCGAGTTTCACTTTTACAATCACTCTTTCCCGGATTGGAAAAGTAACAATTGCGCAATGTCCAAAATTCTTCGAGTCACATGAGCAGCGATTACCAGGGCCTCTTCCGCTTTGGCGGCCATATTGGAAAATCGGGCGGGCAGGCCTTGGGTACCATATTGAACTATAAGTAAACTGGAATGATAACTTCTATGATAAAGGCCTATGTTTGGGCGAAGCCAAATTTCGGGCGCACAAGTATAGCCTGTTCGCAGGTATGTATACGAAAATATATACACAAAATTTTTCACGAAGTATTTTGACTAATTTAATCCTTAATTTTAACTTAAAAGGAGTAAAAGTGAGAACATTTTAACGATTTTTAAGCTGTATTTTTCCATCCGTTTTGTAAAAAGGGACTGCGGCTACCTGCAGAACACACTCATGGCTGACTTTAAAGATGGCGGCGAACTTATCGTTCAAGTTTACTTATAGTTCAATGGGGTACGAGGTTGGAAAGCACATCGTATGAAACGATTTGACAAACATGGTTTTCAAAATTGACTGAATATTGCTTGTCTCAATCTCTCCTGGCAAACTGGCATATTTTATAGATCAGTGAGGATGACCACCCCACACGATAAAGCATAGCTGTGAGCCCGCGATTATCAATAAACTTTAGACTTCGCTAATGCCGGATGTAAATGTCCTAGCTGAATTAGCACCCTCGCCACGGGTTTCGTCGTACGCTGTCTGCGCGTGTCTCGGGGATAAAATGGTTCATTGTTTGTTTTTTTAGCTCAAATGAATACCCATGCCGTATGAGCTGGAGGATTAAGTTGGTCAGTCATGTATCTGCCGAAATGTTGTCTGCTGTTTTCAATCATTCTGTTAATATTGCTGACAATTGGACAACTTCAGGGAACAGAAATGATGAATATTTGTTATAACTCAAGTCTTGAAGGTAGGATACCATAATATTATATTTTGAAATGTCAATAGTCCTTTAGTTGCATTGTGCTTTCGGCAACGTTTTTTCGTGCTCATCAATGACATTTCAAGACAAAGTTACCCTGGTTCTCTTTGCGAGGCGAAAGACATGAGGGGCTAGCTAGAGAAAAGAACCTCTAGTCACATCAGTTGCAAATCCCACTTCCACACTTAAGGTGGCTCAATATACTTTTCGTCATCGGGGGACTGCTATCTAATCTTGAGTTTTCGCGTGAAAATGTTAAAAATATATGCAAAAATAAATACAACATTTTCAATCTAAAATCTGAACCAGGAGTCATGTCTATTTTGATGTTTTAAGTCTTCCTTGTTCTCATTTGTTCTTAAAGAACAAACTTCGTCCTGATTTAGCCCTGAACATTGAATAACTAGAAGACATTTTAAGGTGCAAAATGCAGTGTTCAACATTCAAACTCTTGTAAAAACCGGCGATCGATCCGACCGGCGAAAAGATTTTTACACCAATATTTGGCGATTTATAAGTTCAAATCCAGAGTTTATTGTACTTACAACTGGTAAATGTATTCAAAGTGTTAATAACAGCAAAGGAATTCAGTGAAACAGCATCATGCGCCTGCTCAAGCTGTTTTAAATTGTCAAAACAACGAGGCGAGACGGATTGTTTCCAAGCGTTTGCTTTATGTTCGCATGCTGACTTCGCAAAAAAATGGCGTGACAGATCCAATTAACAATTGATTCAATTATACTATGTGGGTTTCTGTGCTAAAAGGAATGTGATATACGGTCGGCGCTCGTTGCTTGCTGTATAATTGTCGAATGTGCTTGACGAGTAAATGAGTGTGTTTTCCTTATACACTTCAGGTTTCAGGCTCAATGTAAAAGTTTTTATGGCTAAAGTGTTTTCTCAAAGGATAGATTGCGTAATGGGATGTGCCATGGAGCCATGTTGTAGATCAATCAACTACAAAAAGTCATTTGTCGCTGACAATGAATCAAACTGCGAAATGCTACATAACGTGGTGCATAATGTTTCTGAGAATGTAATGAAGGAAGACAGCACTTATGATTACGTTTACCTGCTTAATCCTAAAAAAGTAAGAATATTATTGTAAAGTAGAAAAATAACTTAGTTATGGATAGCAATCCTATATTTCTCTCCCAATATCCTGGTTTTTGGCTCAAATTCAAGTAGTTGCCGGGGTATCAGCATCGCCTCCGCCCACTCCCTCACCCCAAACGACAGGGGAAATGTTCAACATTTCTTTCTGTGACGTTTGGATCTCATATTTAAATTTATGCACATTCTATCTTCTTTCATAATTTGTAAAATAATGACGTATAGCTATACTTTATATAATGACGTTACAAGGTATGATGCCCGCGAGGAATGCTGCTCTTAGTAGTCACTGCCCGGAAAAATTAAACAGTTCAAATTGGGCTCTATGGAAATTTGCCCGGGCGATGACTACTAAAGGTCCATACAGACCGAACACGATTCGACAACGCGACGCGAATTTTTAGTTTTTAAAAACAAATAAAACCGTCACCGGATAAAAATATTACAGGGCGTGCAGACCAAATAGCTAAAATCGCTTTAGAGGTTCTGAATATTTGGAAAACATAAATGTTACTGTAAATTTAAAATTCACGTCCGGTCTGTAAGGACCTTAAAACCAGCATTATGGGCGGCATTAAGCCTTGTGACGTCATTATGCATAAAGTTTATTCAGTTTTAAACGGCCATGTGCGGGATGTCAAGAGCGAGCAATTTTCTTTCCCAGAAGAAATAGCAATTCCTATTTTTCTAAAAAATAAACAGCATGGAAACTCTTAATTTATTTGACAAAATGTCAATAAACTGCGACGCTGCGCAAAGCAACGAATATCTTAAAATACTAACCAGGCCATAAAAGCAGTACGTAGTCTGGCGAATTAACATATTGGCCCAAGATGACCTTAATATTTTTTCACAGCTCAAATAAGTATCTTTTCAATTACTTTTCTTTGAAGTGGAAGATTAATTGAATATTTAGTTGAGTTGTTTTTTAAAGTGCCGCTATCACAAAATGAGAGTTTACATTATTAGAATCTTCATGATTCGTAGATTGTGAAAATACAAAACGGATTTAAAATTGAGCTTATTGTCACAGAGTAATAAGGCAATGAAATTTGAAAATTTCAAATTTTTACGGCAAAAGTTTTTGAAAACCGCGAAGGTGGGAAATTGGTAACTAATACGTCATAGTAGGAAGACATTGCCTACTCGCCTGAGTGAAAAGTATATAAATAGATACAAATAATTATAATACAAATATTTCTCTACGAAATACTAAGTGAGAATCACAATTAAGCTGCTCAAAATTCAACAAAAATGTCTTCATCGAGTTCAGATACGGAAAATAACAGTTATACCAAAGCGATGACTGACTGGAACTATATTTCTGGACCGTATCAAATCGAGTCAAATCGACGAAAACACCAGTGAAGCGAAGTCAAGCAGCGCCGATCATGAGCTGATGAGCACAACGTTGGATATGTTAATAAACCTACCAGTGGCCGACGAAGATTCGCTCAAGAGTTACCGCGAAAAAAAAGCAATCAGGGACGGACGTCTTACGCAACTACAACAAAGACATGATGGTTCAGAAGAATGGAGTAAAGGAGTCAATATTTCACCCTGACTTTGTAACGTGACTTTTTCGTTACTTGCCAGTGTTTCTACATGTACAGTATTCAAATAACAAACTATAATATTTCAAAGTGTAAATGTGGCAATTTTCGCATTGAACTGCTTCGTAAATTATGCTAAAGTGTCCACGTTGTATGGAAATTGACGAGTGCGTCGATTCTGACCTTGACGTTGCGATGCAACTCATGCAAGAGGCTGAAGTCAAGCCATCACGTATAATCAAGCATACCGGTTTTAACAGCGGCTTGTGTCTAGATATGTGGGCCCTCCGTTTAGCAGCCACGAAATTGCGAACAAGAAAGATGCAGGAATACCGCCAAACAAGCACAGAAGATAGGTAACTAAAGTTTTATTTATCAACATATTGAAATTATGAAACACTTTACCGTACCCGAGTTTATATCAGTGGACACACATGTGCGGTATACGGAAAAGAGTTTATATTAATACGGTATGACATTACTCTACAATTATTGTATTATTATATATTTACACGTGTTCACAAGTAAGCGTCTTTAATATTAAAAAGACTTATATTTATTCATTTGTAGATTCTGACAGAGAACAGTATATAGAAGCTTTGTGTGGATGATTTATGGACAACTAGGGAATAGACGACATTCCTTACCAGCTTGCCCTGTGCGAATATGAGAAAATAATGCCTTCTATTGATGAAGACTGCAGGATTGGAGAGGAGGACAGTTCTTGATATTATGTAATTATTTTTCAATAAATAAACCTGTTACACCGTATAAGCATAATATTATACCGTATTGCGTATAGAAACAGTACATTTGCTGTATTGATGTTGTTTTGCCAAAGAGACTGAAATTTGAGACTAAGATTCGTATCTGTTGTTTTCCTGCACTTCGTGCGAGCGGATTCATTTGTGCAAAGTGTTGCAGCACGTTTAGGAATATTTCTGACTTTTATTTCTTTCCACTGACTAAGTTAGTTCATTAAGTTTCCCGCCAAAGTACTGCAAGTTGTGTCATCAATAACCTAAAGAAAATGTTTGCCAGATTTGGAATACCTGCGAAGGTTGTCAGCGACAATGGCTCTCAGTACAGTAACACAAGAAATGTGTTTGGTGATTCACACGAGTTCAAAAAATTTACAAAAGACTGGGGTTTTCAACATACAACTAGCTCACCAGAATATCCACAATCAAACGGGGCAGCCGAAAGAGCTGTCCAGACAGCAAAGCGGATCTTTAGATAACAAAGGCAGATAACAAAGATCCATTTGAAGGATTATTGAAATATCGCAATACACCAATTGAAGATATTGGATCCTCTCCTGCCCAACTTCTGATGGGACGACGAACTCGCATCATGATACTGACTCACAGACGCTTATTGCTCCCTCAGACTCCCGAATGTGGTAAGGTGGTAAAGGGGTTTCAACACCGACAACTGGTTTCGAAGAAATACTATGATAGGAATGGCCGAGATCTACCGCCTTTGAATGTTGGAGATAAAGTTAGAATTCGCCTAAACCGTGATAAAAAATGTCGCTCTGCAGAAGTTCTACCACGATCATATGTGGTGCGGGATGAAAGTGGTAGTGTGTACAGAAGGAATAGAAAACAAATTATATCAGTCCGTAAGGATGGCGATTATAACTTTCAAACTGAAGCAATGGCTGCACCAGAGCCGAGTCCAGATCTAATGCCAAATCCAATATTCCTATGGACCCTACCGAACCGACAGCCCGAAGGTCCCAGAGGTTGACAAAGAAACCAGACAGGTTTATTGAAAGTTGCTGAACTTATTTGTTATAAACTTATATACAACTTGTTAACTTAAAACTTATTTGTTATAAACTTATATATAACTTGTTATAAAAAGATGTTAAAAAATTTATTAGGGAAAGGATGTTATAATATTGACGGTCCAGACATTTAGTGAACTATAGATGAGCGGGCCCTGGAAATGGTTTAAGGCACCCCACCTTATATAAGGGATTGTTTTGCATGGATTGTGTCATAAACTTGTAAATTTTTATTTGTTGATTCTTGGCCTTACTTTCTATTACTCAAAATACTTTTATGTTTGATCGTATCATAACAGGTTTGTCGTGGACAGTATTTGTCATATTTTGCATTTGCAACGAAACCAATTTCGTCGGTAGCTAACCGTGTTTTTACCTGTAAAATCTTCCTGCGCAAAGTATGCTGAACATTGGATCTCATTTTGCTCGTTTAAGATGCACGAAGTCTACCCATTGCCTCCATGCCCGCACCGCCCCCCCCCCCCGCCTCGGCTACCCCGCCCCCAACAAAACTCAAAAGGTGTAAAATGATTTAAAAATGGATTTCTTTGCATCTGTGACACTACTATACATCTATTCGGCAATTTTTCAGTTTCGTGACTTTTATTTGCGCTATTGCCTTCTCTAAAATAGCACATACAATAGTACTTCTACATTAGTGAGACAGACGAGTCCCTACTATTACGTCACAAGCATTGTTTCGTCCCAGTCTCTTTTGCGCGGTTTTCAGATTTTTCGCAAGGCGAAATTCAATGTTTAAACGGCAATAACTTTTAGACTAAAATAGCAATTTCGATTCTGTTTTCGAATTCCCGTATATTTTGTATCATAGATTTCAAAAATATGAACTCTCATTTTGTGACATGGACACTTTAAAGAGTTATACGTAATACTATTTTACGCCTCGCGATCATCCCATTATGTCGCGACCATTAATGCTATTTTACGTCTCGTGATCATCCATTAATACTATTTTAAATTAAGCCTCGCGATCATCCCATCTCTCCAGATAAAAACTAATAATAGCGAAGCAAAAGTTCATTCTTTTTGGGCCATGCACAAGTATTCTTTGCCCTTACATGACCAGGAATACACTGTGAGATATATTAATACAACTAACAATAACTAAGATAAAATTCAACAAATTTGAAAACATTGAATTCTAGCGAGAAACGGAGTGATACTGCTGAATGCGTTCGTTACGGACCGGGAGTTTCAGCGCGCAGTCGTCAGAGTAAACGCCTTTCACCTCGGAGTTCGTTGTCTATCACGGACTCAAGTGAAAACAGTCATTCAACAATCCGCCAACAATCCGCGGTTTTCTCCGGGCGCTCAGGCTTCCTCCCGAAGGGAAAGTTGCCTGGGTGGGTCAGGATAAACACAGTTAAGGACGTAATATCACTATTGCAAGGACAAAATAACCTAGGCTAAGTACGTAATAAGGTGAGCGTATCCACCTGATCAAAAGCGCATTCGATCATATCCATAACCAAATGTGCTCCATAGAACTGCTAATCGTAATCGTAAGTCCAGGTTGTCTAATTTTGTTTTAAAACTGTATAACAAAACAATTATTGTATTATTTCTAGGAATACAACTCAAGCTGCTTGTTCAAGAACAATTTCAAAGGTAGATACTGGTAGAGAAGTACAATTAGTTTTACATGCACATCCAGGGTCGGAAGTATTTAGTTTGCAGATGACACAGAAACTTTTTGTCGCATAATATTTCTCGTGCGACATGAATTACTGGATAACATTTATCCCGTGACATTAATTGTCACATAATATCTGTCGCGCATAATCATATGCTTTGTGTAAAACATTGGTTTTCGAGTAATAAACAGCATAGTGTTTATAGCTTTTGCAGAGATAACTGTTGATATGCATACGGAAATTAATCGTTGTCAAACAATAGTGGAATTAACAACAGCCTTGGAAAGGTTGTGTACATTGAGTGAAGCGGAACAACGACTTGTGTTTGGGAGTCAAATGGAGATTTTTCAGCGCATAAAGGATTGGGCATTCGAACTCGAGCGGCTAAGACTTGTAGTTGGTCTTTCGAGTACTTGGACTCCAGAACAATGAGAGAGATTTCTGTATGATTGGCAAAACGACGTGCCTTTGTTATAGGTCGGTTGTGGACAGAAAAGATCATAAGAGGAAATGAATGATGGCGCAACTGATGAGGTTAGCGATAATTATTTTACTCTGACAAATGTCAAGCAAGAGAAGGTGAAAAAGTTCCCCATAAATGGCTTGGATTATACTGTTCCAAAAGGAGAAAATGGGGTAACACGAATATGAAATCGTACTTATTTTAGAGCGAAATATTGTTGCTAGGATACTGTTTTGCTTGCATAAAATAAGCCTTATGTGTTTTTTTTTCTTGGAGTTCTGTAGGTATGTATCTTCGCATTTTGCTTATGCGTATTCGCATTGAGGTCCTAATTTGGTCATTATTTTTGCATTCTTTGCATTTTGCTTCGCATTTTTCGCATTTTGCTTCGCATTCTTTGCTTTTTGCTTCGTATTCTTCGCATGAAGGCCCGATTAGGCCCGATAAAACTCAACGGCATAATCAGACTGCCCATGCACCCTGTTAAACCTATAAGGAGGGTCCTAAAGGGGTAAAATGGGAACTGGGATTGGTCTATTTTTAGACTGGGAAAATGGAATTTGGGTTGCTGGGACTGGGATGTGGCCACTGGGAATGGGAAATGAAGTCCTCAAAAATGGGAATGGGATTGAGGTAATGCGAGTCGATTCCCAATTTTTCTGCGTTTTGAGTATTTTAAAATACAATTTTGATCCGTTTTTGGTGTCTTTGGTCATGATTTTTGTTGTTAACTATATTATTCACAGCACTACCTGCGAACAGGCATACTCTGGTGCCTGGAATTCGGGGTTTTCTGATTATGCGTGTCTCAGAATGCTGTAAATGCAATTACCGGGATTAAAATTTTAAAATGTTCTGTGCCTTCGGCACAAGCCTCCTCCTCCTCCCCGTGATTTCATAAAGTGTCCACCACTTGCACACACGGTGGCTTAAAAGTCTTAAACTGTTTATTCTACCGATAAATAAAGGGTTTTTTATTGAGTGGGATTTCAATAACTCGGACTGGGATTTCTGATAAAAATCCAACTGGGACTGGGATTTTGCCAAAATTTCAGGTGGGAAATGGGATTGGGAAACCCCATCCCCCCCTTTCAGGACCCTCTTTAAGTGGCAAGGCGCCCAGATGCGCCCTACTTTATTATTTTATCCTGTCTAACGGCAGTCGATTTTACTCGTCAAGGGAGAGTTAACAGACACGGCCGTACATTTTCTACAATTTATTCGTCTCTAAAAAGTCGATGTTCGGTCGATGTAGGGTCTATGTGAGGTCGATTAGAGGTGGATGCGAGTCAATGTAGGGTCTATGTGAGGTTGATGTGAGGTCGACGTGAGGTCGATATAGGGTCGAAGTGAGCCCGATGTATGGTTGATGTGAGGCACCGGTTCGAGTCTGGTTTGGTAGGTAAATGTAAACATTCTAGAATATGTCATAATGATCATGTTCATGTTCACGACTCAAAGAGTAGATGCACGAAAAGTCTTTCCTGATTTTTGGTTTACGCGCATGCATACTCTCGCAATAGCGATCATGCTAGTTCATCTGTATTGCCCCACAAGCAAACCATGCATATATCGACTATATAATTCGCCACTCTTCGCTCTCTTTTTCTTTTCTGAATGAGAGCTTATAAGTGGTCTATGGTTTCTTACCAGTGCGATCGATGTCTGAAACGGTTCTCGTCCTATCATAATGTTAAGGCGAACTACTATGTATACCCAAACACTAACGATAATGCCTCGATGGAAGGAGATAGAGGAAGTAGCTACTCGGATGAACAAAATGTGGACTCTTTTCCAGACGAAGAAAGTGTTAGGGAAACTAAAGAAAATGAAAACAGTGAGAATTCCGAAGATGATGATGAAATCAAGGAAGAGATTGAACCTTGGGCGAACATGAATGACGATGCAAAAGCGACGGTTCAACCAGAGTATAATGAATTTATGAACACGTTGCAAATGGCTGGGCAAGAAGAAAATGCAGCTAAGCAGAAAGCCTTTGAAAACGTTGTCTCTGAACTTCAGAAAGAATTTTCTGGCGTTTACGTGAAAAATTTACGATGGATAAAATACATAAAAGAAAACATTTGTGAACGAAGACTCGTTTGATCGTGATGAAGCTTTATCTGTAGCGGTTGACAAAAGAAACTTTCTGGTGAAGCAGCTTTCAGAAGATCAAGAACGTTTTTCAAATAGTGATTAGGATCAATGAATCGATGTAATGCTTACACATGTAAAATAAATATTTATCAAAACTGTATTGTGCCTTGCTTTACAGAACTGCAAATGTACATTAGAATTAAGCCGTACCAAGCAATAAAGTCCAACATGTTGTCAAAACTGCACGTAGTAAATATTACTCGAAATCAGTGGAAAAACTTAAAGAAGGTAATCTATCTAAGTGGTGTAGAGAAGTTAAGAGTTTGAGCGGTTTGACATCTAGTGTCACATGGTTCCACCAGTTATTAACTGATTATAACCATACCGCAACCCATTTGGCCGAGTCATTTAAAGAGTTCTTGGTTAATTTAATCTCACATTTCACATGTGATACGAGTTCCAACCAACTCGACATACCCCATCAGTTTCTTGTCAATCCCGACATTGTCTCCGCATCCCTTCGCCAAATTAAGATAAATAAATCTACGGGTCCGGACAGTATTCCCAATAAGCTGCTTAAAATGTTCGCTACCGAATTTGCTCCTGTTTTGACTGACATATATAACTCATCTATGCAACAAGGAATTTTTCTCAACAACAAAAACGTGCTGTCGTTATTCCAATTCCGAAAGTGTCGCCTCCATTATCCCTTAAGCACGATCTAAGCATGGGCGTCAATCCTGGGGGTGGGGATGGGGGTGGGGACGCGTCCTCCCAGTTTTTGGAGTGAGGGGATGAATATCTAATTATCCCCACTTTTTGACATGTCTAATGAAATTTTGTTTCTTGGTTATCTAAAAACCTAATGCAAGGTTGCTACTCATCAAAATTTGTTATTGAAAGGTATTGAAGATATTTAATAAGAAGTTCAACGTATGATCTTTCTGTAGCCGCTGGGAGCAAATACTGACATCGCATACACGGCAAAAAATGCCGAGCCAGTTGCTCAACAGGACTGAACAATGTTTTGCTGCCCACGTTGTTCACACTTGTCAACAATATTGAACAATGTTGTTGAGCCTGAATCGGGTGTAACAATATTGTTCAATATTCTTGACAGCTATGAACAATGTGGGCAGCAAAACATTGTTCAATCCTGTTTTCATCAGTATTGCATCAACCCCTGCATCAACCTGACCGTTTTTACGCGTGTATGTAATGTAAAATTGTAAATACTTAAAAATAATTAACTTTTACAGCAGTTTCACGAGATTCGCGACCCCCCAACACAAAAGTTCGCTGAAGTATGTAATATTTGTTTTTGACATAAGGGCGTGGCTACCAACTAGTATTTTATTATATTAAATCAGCTGATGCCGCATGCCAAAAACAAACATTACTTCAGTGAACTTTTGTGTGTTGAGGGGTTGCGAATCTAGTGAAACTGCTGTAACTGAGTTTCCCTTAAGTAGACGATTATCATCAAAATAAAGCAAATGTTTATTTTACGAGCGAGCGCAGCGAGTGAGTAAAATATTGTTCCTAACCCAAACAAAAATTCACGCTCAAAAGCAAATTGGAAAAAGTTACGTGATCGATATCTTCACCAGTTAAGATACGGAAAATATTTCACTGTGTATTTTTCAGTATCTCACTCTCTACTATATAGTAAAACTTTATAAGTGCCTCCAAAACGCTGGGAATGCCGTTTCAGTATACCAAAATTAAAAAAAAAATTTCGGATAGCATACCTACGGACATTCTTAGTTTGGAGTCCGTCCCCTCCACTTTTTGCGATAGATTGACGCCAATGGATCAAAGGCCCTTCTCACTAACATCTCAAGTGTCAAAAGTCATGAAAGGGTTTACTTTAAAATCTCTGTTATTGCAAGTTGCTGACAAAATGGATTCAATGCAGTTTTCCCTCCCAGGCAAATCTACAACCCATGCCCTGGTTTATCTGTTACATTCCATTCTTGGAGCTCTCGAGTCAGGTCAATGCTACGTTAGAATATTCTTCGCAGACTTTAGAAAAGGCTTTGATCTTGTCGACCACAACATTATAATCGACGAACTAAAACGACTTGATGTTCACCCTTCCATCGTTCTTTGGATTTATTATTTCCTTACGGATCGCGAACAATGCGTAAAAATTGATAATTACAATTCTTCATGGAAGAAAACTAATGTTGGCCTAATTCAAGGAACCAAACTTGGACCTCTTCTGTTTGTAATTCTTGTCAAGCAGCTATTAAACAATTGAGTGGCACGGTCGTATTAAATTCGTTGATGACGGTCTTTTAAATCATCCCGCGGGGTTCCCCTAGTTTACTACCTATAGTTGTAAATAAAACTTCAAAAAGAGGAATGGAGCTCAATCGATATCCCAAGAAATGTAAGGAAATGATAATTACTTTCTTCAAATACAACCACACTTGTTTTAGTCCTATTTACATCTCAGGAGTTCCCGACGAATTAGTATCCTCATTTAAACTATTTGGTGCCCACTTGTCTAACGATCTTACGTGGAATTCACATGCAGATTATATAATGAAAAAGGCAAAATCACGATTATATTCCCTCCGCAAGCTACGTAAAGCTGGTCTGAAGCAATCTGATTTGGCAACAGTTTATTGCTCCTTTATACATTCACTTTTGGAATACGCGTCACCGTCGTGGGCTACGTTGTCATCCACGTTGTCGAATGAAATTGAGTCCTTTCAACGTCGTGCTCTTAAAAATCTCTATCCTGACTTGTCATATGCCGATGCGTTCGATACTACCGGATTTGATACATTAATTGATCGCAGAGGCGATGCCTGCAAGTCGTTCCTTCAGAAGTTATAGGGTCACAAGTCAACCTTCTGCAACCTGCTGATAAATATTCTTGAAGAAACACCGTACGAACCTGTCCATAACTATTGCCTGCAAAACAGCAATCCTCTTGCACCGCTTATATTTACTGAACGGTTTCGCAACTTTGTTACAATTAAGTATAATTCGTAATTTTACGCTTATTGACTTATTTTTAAACTATAGACTATTGAACATTATTGCATATTAATTTTTTATCGTTGTCCTTCACCTGACCGCCTTTAACAGGTTTTTTGAATGTAGATAATTGGTAACTTCTGATATAATTTTAACATTGTGACTCTATGTATGTATTTTATCCAGTTGTTATATTTATAATCGTGTAATTCAGTTTGTACTGCGATACTATTTATTAAATTAAATTAAACTAATAATAATAATAATAATAATAATAATAATAATAATAATAATAATAATAATAATAATAATAATAATAATAATAATAATAATAATAATAATAATAATAATAATAATAATAATAATAATAAAAATATAATAATAATGAAAACTTTATTAATAGAACATTTATAGATATATACAATTGTAAATCTCACTTCTTGAGGTAACCTACAATTGACTACTTGAATCACTTATACATGCATGGTTATAATTTTATATACAAAAATTGTTGATTATTTATAGAAATAGTTACTTTAAATGTTCATTAGTTCGGGATTAGTCCATTCTTTATTTCTACAGCAAAATATGTAGTACGTTGATCGGATGGCAATAGATATAATTTTTCTGATACAATATTGTTGGTGTTGATTACCCAGTCCTAACTCATTTAGCATTTTTACGAATGTATGACATTCTTTGTCAAACACCCCTAGCGAACTGACAGAAAGATTTGTAAATTTAACAGATGTAACGTTTTGATCCAGTTCTCTAATTAGGTCTTTATATTTAGCTTTCTTGCGGTTAACATTGTTTGTGAAGTTTGATTCAAAGCCTACGGTAAGTTCAACAACGTAGAGGTGTTTGTCTGAAGTGGAGACAAGTAAATCAGGACGATATTCATCTCCCGTAATAATCGAGGGGCTTTCAAATCCAGGAAGATCAACATGTAATTTGCATTTGTTTAAACTTTGAAAAGTTTTTGCAAGAAGGTTTAGTATGGAATCGTGTCTCCAAGTAAATCGTTCCAAGTAATGTTTACAACCGGCAACAACGTGTAGAAGTGATTCAGGGTGTAAGCAGAACGAGCAGTCAGAACTTGATGAAATTCCCCATCTACTGAGGTTCTTTCGGGTAGGAAGGGTATTATTTATATAGCGAATTGTAAAGTTGAAAATGTTCTTTGGTTGCTTTGATTGCGATACCGACCAGATTGCGTTAAGTTGTGATAGCGAGAATTTAGAAACATTTTCGAAAAAGGAACCTTGACATTTCAAACGGTTCCTAAGTTTATTTTCTTGTTGAGAATGGAAAGTTTTTAAAACTTCTTTAGTTGAGTTGTAGCTATCGTATTGAATGTTAGTATGATTATTAGTTGACTTTCACAGTTCGTTTATTGAATCGTTTGGAGATGTTTCTAGGGCATTGCTTAGAACTGTTTGATTCTGAATGAATTTGACTGATGCTGGGAGGATATTTAGACCAAACTTATTACGGGTTAGGAAAACGTTACTTAGTGTTCCAGATATAGGTACTTCCAGCCATTTTTGGATGTACTTGTTCACCGAAGAATCGATATTTTCGACTACCCAAGTTTTAGATATCGTAGCAACAGTAAAATGCCAGGATAGTTTCGACAAAACATAACGACTGTAAAGTAAAATTTTGTTTTTTGGGTGAAGATATTTAAGATCTATTTCGCACATTAGTTCATCAATGAGGGAAATCAGTTTAGATTTATGTTTTTCATTAGTCATGTTAAAGTCGATGTGTCGTCCCAAATACTCAAATGATTCTCCAGTCTTAATCGTTGGTATGAGATCCTTATTGATCAAAAGCTTCGGCAGGTACTGCGCAGATTTTGATAAAAATTTTTTGATGCCAAATGTGCTACATTTATCAACTTTAAGAACCATGTTGGACCATTGACACCAGATAGAGAATCGATTAAGGAGATGTTGATTTTTCGACTCTTGACCAGTAATAACCGCAGCAGCATCGGCAAACTGAAACCAGTGGATTGCATTAAGAAGTTGGAGGGAGAAACCGAACTGGCGGTACTTTTCAGCTTTGATATGTAATAATGAAAACTTTATTAAATGGATATTTATAGCTTATATATACAATTGCAAATCTCACTTATATCAGGTAATTTACAACTGGCTACTTAAATCACTGATTATATATGCAAAAATTATGCTATTAAGATAACAAAATGACAGTACAACGTTTAAACACTTAACAGTTCCGGATTCATCCATTCCTTGTTTCGACAACAAAATATATAATACGTTGTTCTGATTGCAATCGTCGTCATTCTTCTGATACAGTAATTCTGATGTTGCTTTTGAAAACCAAAATCATTAAGCATTTCTATGAAAGTAGAACATTCTTTACTGAAAACACCAAGAGAACTAATCAAAAGATTTTGTTCCCTAATTAATTCTTTATATTTTGATTTTTTACGCTCAACGTTTTTTTGAAGATTTGATTCGAAGCCAACTGTAAGTTCAACAATATAGAGTGTTCCGGTTGAGGTTGAAAGAAGCAAATCTGGACGGTAGGTGTCACCAGTGATGATTGATGGATTTTTGTACCTTGGGAGATCCACGTAAAGATGTGAGCCGCTTACGGTCTGCAGGCTTGTTGCGAGAAAGTTTAGAACGGAGTCATGTCTCCACGTGAATCGTTCTAGATACGATTGGCAACCAGCTACTACGTGCAGAAGTGTCTCAGGAGCTAGACATCGCGAACAGTCTGAAGTCGGTGATAAACCCCATCTTGCAAGGTTTTGGCGCGTTGGAAGGGAGTTATTGATGTATCGAACTGTAAAGTTGAATATGTTTTTCGGAAGGTTCGATTGGCACGCAGACCAAATTTTAGTGAGTTGGGACAGTGAGAACTTTGTTATATTAGTGAAGAAAGAGCCTTGACAGGTTAATTGAGTATGCAGTTTATCCTCTTGTCCAGAGCGAAAGTCCTTAAGAACTTGCTTAGTGGAGTTATAAACGTCATACTGAATATTTTTGCTGTTGCTAGTTGCTTTCCAAAGATCGTTAATTGCTTCGTTTGGGGATGTTTTTAGGGCTTTACGGAGAACAGTTTGACATTCAATAAATTTGACAGATGGGGGACAAATACTGAGGCCAAACTTGTTGCGGGTTAGGAAAACAGTGCTTAGCGTTCCAGATATAGGTATATCAAGCCATTTACGGATATAACTGTTGACTTTGGAATCAATGTTTTCGGTGACCCACGTTTTCGATACGCTAGAAACTGTAAAATGCCAGGATAATTTGGACAGAAGATATCGACTGTAGAGGAGGATTTTATTTTTTGGATGTAATGGTTTGGAATCAATATCTGCCATTAGTTCTTCAACGAGTGAGATTAGTTCAGACTTGTGGTGTTCGTCTGACATATTAAAACTAAAGTATCTTCCTAAGTATTGAAAAGCCTCACCGATATTGATCTTTGGAATTAGTTGCTTGTTAATAAGTAGTTTAGGCAAGTATTGGATTGATTTTGTTAGAGCTATAATAATAATAATAATAATAATAATAATAATAATAATAATACCTTCCATCGGGCCTTATCATGCAGGCCTTAATGCGAAGAAAAATGCGAAGCAAAATGCAAAGAATACGAAAATGCAAGACCAAATTGCGATCTCATGCGAAGACGCATAAGCAAAATGCGAAGACGCATACCTACAAAACCCAAAGAGAAACCCCACATAGCGCTTATTTTATGCAAGTAAAACAGTATCCTAGCAGCAATATTTCGCTCTAAAATAAGTACGATTTCGTATTCCTGTTACCCCGTTTTTTCTCGTTTTGGAACAGTATAATCCAAGCCATGTATGCGGAACTTTTTCACCTTCTCTTGCTTGATATTTGTCACAGTAAAATAATTATCGCTAACCTCATCAGCTGCGCAATCATTCATTTCCTCATATGATCTTTTCTGTTCACAACCGACCTGTAACAAAGGCTCGTCGTTTTGCCAATCATACAGAAATCTCTCTCGTTGTTCTAGAGTCCAAGTGTCCGAAAGATTGGCCACAAGCACTAGCCGCACGTTTTCGATGCCTTGGGGTCCCTAATACAATCTGCCTTCTCACGTCGCCGCTGACTGCACTGATGTTCAACTGTAAAACAGATGACGGCCTAATTCACAGAGAGGGTGGAATATCAAGGCAAATTCACGTCAATGATATGGAGAATACACAGTACTTGACATTCCAGAGGTTTAATGCTTTTTTCATCAGTCTATCAAACGAAGCAAAACAGAATATCGCGTCCAAGGACTTGGCAACTTCGGAAGTTTAGCAAACGTTGCTGAATACACGTAGTTTGGGTCATTCCCAACTCGAAGAGTTTGCTAAGATTACATGTCTACAGAATCCGGAACAATTGTTCAAAACTACGTTCCGTGATTCTCTTTCATAGAACAAGCCCTTACATTTGCTAATATCTACGTAGACGAAGAAATGGAAGTGGAGGCACCCACGTAGATACGTTCCCACCGTCTGATTACCGCGTATAAGGCTGGTAGTGAAGTCAATATGCAGAATATCTTGAAGCATGAACTCATGCCTGTCTGAACTTTTGAAACGAATTGACATCGTGCTTGATAGATACCGAGAGAAGTCGACTGAAGTCTCCACAGGACTCACAGGTCACGGAATGGGCGTGTCATTCGGAGAGTTACAGAAGGTCGATTTGTCCCTTTATCATCAAAATGGCGCGAAAGCATTTCTTGCACTTGGTGACAACAAGGCTGACTTAGCTCAGTTTGTATCGGAGGAGCTTATCGCGATGACACCTGAACACAACGCTATTGTTGTGTCTGATGGATTCTAGGATAAAGAGGAGGTGCGGCGCTCGGACTCTACAATTGACGTTCTTGGGCTGCGTTGAGATCACTAGGCCTAGAGTCGGATATCCGCATTGTCTTACATGTTATATCCAACAATAGATATGCTCAGAACGTTATTGTTTCAGCCTGTAACACAAATGTGCCACTCCTGTTGCTGGTCCATCGATATCGGATAACTTCGAAAGTCTGAGTTGCAGCCGCTAAGAAAACGCCTCATCTAAAACGATGTCTATGGTAAGCTTCCAGCAGAATCTGAGATGGCCATCCTATAATTTCATGCGATCACCGGCTGTGCCACACCTCGCACCTGTTTGGTTAAGAAGTTCTCAAGGGCGGTGTTGAAGAACAACTCCTTTCCCTTGGAAAAATAATTCTGACAACAGACACACTTAAAAGACCAGAAACGTTTGTTTGCAGAATCTACAAGACAAACGTATTATCCGAGCATATGACTCAATTTCTCCTTTTGCTAAGGCTGGTACTCTAGATAAAGTTCGAACCACCAAGCGACGCCTTGAAGTACCATATAATGAGAACCCGTTATCAAGCTATGGTGTGCCGACAGGCGCGTTGTCGAAAGCAAATTATGCCTAAGGAATCTGGTTGGAAACTTGTGGATGACAAGCTGGTTCCATTGCTGATGACAATTGACCTAATACCGCTAGCATATGTGGAGAAGATTACATGTAAGTTCACCACTGGTTCTGCAACCCTGCGGTGCAAATGCAAGAAAGCAAATATAGTGTTTCCCGGATTATTTTGTTGCGGCGAATCGAAAAACAACTTGTGCATTAATAAGATATCATAGAACATGTCTATTATTTGCCTCTGACGTTGAAGCTGAATCTTATTCTTGGACGTCGGTAGTATTTCAACAAGCAATGTTTCATCGGAATCGATTATATGATTTAACAGTGCGCATGCACACCTGGATGTTCAATAAATGTGTTAAGGTACTCATAAAATATGGTATATAATTAGTTAATAAAACAGAAATAATTTTCCTGAAGGAATATTACGTCATATAATCGATGCTTGTGCCATTAAGATATTATTGCTGGACACGCGATGGGCCACGTGACACAAATATTGTGTTTGAAAAAATTGTATTTGGTGCATTGTAATTAAGTATGTAAATGTTGCAAAGAAAACGTCGTATTCAGGATGAATTTGTCCACCTTTACAATTTAGTGTATATAGCAAATCAGATCAAATTCACGTGGGTTTATGACGTCATATTTAATAATGCAAAATACACCTTTAACATAATTTATGAACCTGACAAAATTGATTTTCGAAATGAGCATATTCGACTTAACAAAACTAGCTATGTTGCCAGCTTTTGAAAAAGATCCCTATTGCTTCACAACAGGAGCTTCTGGGAACCATGCAGTCTATAAAAAGATTTTTGCCAACCCTCTACTTTTGACCGCCACCCTATTAAGCGTGCAAACGGTTAGAGAGAGACTGCGAATTGACTTCAACGCTTTACGAACAACAAATTCTTCAATATTTGGAATATAAATGTTTCAATAAAGCTATAATTTTTAAATTTTGAAAGCCGTTGGTATCCATAATTCTTGCGAAATTCTATATGAACGTATAGAATCAACCCGAACGAAGGGAACATAATGGAATTGATAATTTGTGACCATAATTTAAATAGAGAATCTGTTATATTTATCAATGCACTGTCCTCTTTTAGACCAAATATATCACGGACATTATTATGCCTAAGAAAAAACTATGCTTGCGATTGAGGAAATGTTTACTAATAATTCTGCAATAAAAAATGTTCAAAGCCCAAAATATTTTTGGCGTTCCTCTCATATTAATTTGTTTTAGATTTTTTCTCTAGTTTATAGAGTTATCATGCATCTGCCGGTTAATTAAAAATAATAAAATAAAAGTTAAAAATTATCAATTTAAATACAATTATCAATGATGCTTTAATAAATTGACGCCATGTTTACAGCGATTTTAAGCAAAACTTACTGAACTTCAGACATTATTTTCTCTTTGGCATATTATCTAAAATATCTTCATTTTAACATTATTTTAAGGACAACGCACTAAACATACTTTTTATATAAGTTTGTTTGCCGATTGAGAAACGTATCGAGAAATAAAATTTTTGAATTTAATCATAACTTCAAGTGATATAATTATACACATTAGTTTTGAGCGCGTGTTACGTAACATACAAATAAAATATCCTCTTAAATTATATCTCACCTATAAATCACCCTAGACGAAAGGCCTTCGCTCGAAACATCGAAGGTGTTTTATATTTTTTAGGCAGTTTCATCATTGCCAGCGAAAGTTTGTTGACTGCAAATATTTGTCTTCTACATGAATGAATATGCTTCTTTAGATGATGTTAAGAAGACATTATCAGTATCAAAAACTACCAGTAATATGACAATAATGTCAACCTCGATTGGAAATATGGTTTCCCCTTCCTGGCTGTCATCATTGGTTGAAGTTACAACGTCAGGAACAAAATCATCCAATCACCGCGGACCTTCTCCGATCCCAAATTCACGAACTTATTCTTCTGTTGCAGTAATTCAAACTACATTGTCAGATAATCCAGCTATTTAAATGCACTGCCCTTGCTAATATTACTGTAGACCTGCAAATTTCAATCGATTTCGGAAACGTCAATGTTCAACAAGCACCTACCATCTTCTTTTAAATTATATGAAACCTAACTTGCGCGAAATAGTATTTCCTCTAGGTTAAATTAATGCTAACAATGGAATCGTACAATTTGATATGTTGTTAAATCTCTATAAATTACTCTAGACGAAAAGCCTTCGCTCGAAACATCGAAGGTCTTTTTATATTTTTTGGCTTCTTGCATCATTGCCAGCGAAAGTTTGTTTACAGCAAATATTTGTCTTCTACAATCAATATGCTTCTTTATTTAGGTGATGTTAAGAACACATTATCAGTACAAAAAACCACCAATAATATGACAATAATGTCAACTTCGATTGGAAATATGGTGTCTCCATCTTTGCTGTTATCATTGGTTGAAGTTACAACGTCAGAAACACAATCATCCAATCACCGTGGACCCTCTCCGATCTCAAATTCACGAACCTATTCTTCTGTAATTCTAACTACATTGTCAGATAATCTAGGTATTTAAATGTACTGCCGCTGCTAACATTACGGCTGTAGACCTGCAAATTTCAATTGATTTCGGAAACGTCAAATGTGAATGCTCAACAAGCACCTCCCATCTTCTCTTAAATTATATGTTACCACGCTTGCGCGAAATAATATTTCCTCTAGGTTAATACAATGAAATCGCAGACCTCTATGTATCGTTAAACGGATTTCGAATAAATATAAATCACTCTAGACGAAAGGCCTTCGCTCGAAGCATCGAAGGTCTTTATATATTTTTTAGGTAGTTGCACCATTGCCAGCGAAAGTTTATTTACTGAAAATATTGGACTTCTGCAATCAATATGCTTCTTTAGATGATGTTAAGAAGACATTATCAGTACAAAAAAACACCAATAATATGACAATAATGTCAACTTCGATTGGAAATATGGTATACCCTTCTTGGCTGTCATCATTGGTTGATGTTACAACGTCAGAGGCACAATCATCCAATCACCGTGGACCCTCTCCGATCTCAAATTCACGAACTTATTCTTCTGTAATTCAAACTACATTGACAGATAATCCAGGTATTTAAATATACTACCGCTGCTAATATCACTGTAGACCTGCAAATTTCAATTGATTTCGGAAACGTCAATGCTCAACAAGCATCTCCCATCTCATCTTAAATTATATGTCACCTCACTTACGCGAAATAATATTTCCTCTAGGTTAAATTAATACTGACAATGGAATCAATGGAATCACTATAAATCACTCTAGACGAAAGCCTTTCGCTCGAAACATCGAAGGTCTTTTTATATTTTTTAGGTAGTTACATCATTGCCAGCGAAAGTTTGTTTATTGCAAATATTTGTCTTCTACAATCAATTTGCTTCTTTAGATGATGTTAAGAAGATACTATCAGTACAAACCACCACCAATAATATGACAACAATATCAACTTCGATTGGAAATCTGGTGTCCCCTTCTTTGCTGTCAACATTGGTTGATGTTACAACGTCAGGAGCACAATCATACAATCACCGTGGACCTTCTCCGATTCCAAATTCACGAACTTATTCTTCTGTAATTCAAACTACATTGTCAGATAATCCAGGTATTTAAATGTACTGCAGGAGTCACACATTAAGTCAATTGGTCCTTTTTTAAAAAATATTGTCCATGGGGGCCGGGGGAGGGGGGGGGTATATGTTTACATATAAAGAGACCATACTATGCTGAATATGGAGAAATGACAGATGTTAAACAGTCACAAACTCTTTAGTGTGGTGTCGTTAGTTAGAGTGGAAAATATTTGTATTTCTCCACCCTTAGAACTGCATTCCATTTGTTTAGTGCAACAGATTTTTGGATATACAGCGTGACATTATATTGTTGATAAGTCGAGTCTTCGTTATATGTAAATACATATACTCAGTCACCAATCTGTTTAGTTAGCATTTCAAGTCCTAAAAACTAAAATCTACAAGCAGGATCTGGGATATGCATGCTATGCAATGTCTAGGATTTTGAAAGAGACATTGAAGTATTTCAAGATAAAAGACATGACATAAGATTCACAAAGAAAATTTTAGTTAATATAGACTATCAAGCCTCCCTTCTAAATTCCATTTTACGCCCAATGTTTTATTCTGTATTTTGTTTGAGTGAGAGGAGGCAAAATAGTTGAGTAAAGGAGGAGGCTCTCCATGAGTTCTGGGGGTCGCCTTGGTGGCCCATTTATACATGTATAGCTCAAAATAGTTTATACATGTTTTTAATAGAACTTTAATGACTAAAATTATTTAATATTCTCAACAATAAAAGTCGAACAAAAACTTTTCGCAATTCAATTATTAAAAGATTTTTTTGAAAAAACTTATTAAGATACAATAGCTAAAATCATCCTTTGTTTCAAGTATTTCTGTAAAACTCTAAAACTGGCAATGTTTTTGAAATTGCTGTGTTGCTCGTCCCCTAATTTTTGTTGCTCGATATTCAAGCTTCACTGTCGTGCACATGTCTTGGTGGTGAATGCTGAAAAACGAGCAGACTGCTTGATACAAAGGTAGTCAGGAAAATGTGGTTGAGTAATTAAATCTCTGTCAAAAATAATCGATCTCTGACAGGTAGCCATGTTAATTCTGGCATATATGTAATGTAGTCATACTTTCGCGCACCAGTAATAGGGTGTTTAAGCTTCACGTTTCCGAGAACGGCAAACGGCAGGTTCGAATTTTCTTGGCAAAATGTCCGTTGAAAGTTTCGTTTCATTCTTTCTTTCTTGTGTCAAAAGGATAATTATGCATTTCAGTTTTAAAACAGCAAGGTAATTTACTCTTTATTGCCTAATAGCGTAAAATTTTTCTTTGCCTGCCGTTTGCCGTTTGACGTATAACGAATAACGCGAAGCTTAAACTCTCTAATAATTCTGGCAGCGAGGTTTTCGGTCAATTGTAATTTGTTGATATTTCAATTGGATGTGTTGGCCCTGGCGGAAAAACAACAGAATAATTGGCTCGAGAACAGTTCAGGGCAATGAGTTCTTCGGCCTAGAAAAAGGAGATTAGGCTCGATTTTCAAATTGTGCCGTAATTGTCTTGAACGAACAATTAGGAAATTGTTTTTTTATGGATTAATTAAAAGCTTGTGTTCACCGTATCATTTCGCGACATCAAGGAGGTTTTGATACATATTTCGAACCAAGGGCTCTACTGGCTTCTTCGATTAAATATGAAAGGAATAACTTGAAGTAATGTTTCAAATCCGAGTTAGTGTTTTAGACGTGGTTTCTAAATACAAGTGCCATGAACAATGGCGAGGCGCAGCCGAGCCATTGTTTATGGCACTGGGGATTTGGAAGCCAAGTTTAAAACACTAACGAGGATTTGAAACATTACTTCAAGTTATTCCTTTCATATTTATATAACATCATTAGATATTCATAGCAATGAGGCAGTAACAATAGCGAATTAAGTTGTTCAATGAGGCGAATGCGTAACCAAGGAACGAATTAAAGACGTTGTTGTTGTAGTATTTGTTCGCCTTCGAAGGAAGCATGGCATCTATAGTTGCAAAAAGAGGAGATTCGAGATCCTCAAAGCGTGGAAGGAAGCATTGACAACGTCCGAAATGCTATTTCACAAACAACGCGTTATAAAAATCGTTGGGGAGTTCGTATATTTGAAGATTGGCAAAGTGGGCGAGAAAATAAAGCAGTCATGTGTGAGAGCAATCCTTTCAGCTTAGATTTGCAGAATTTGCAAAATTTGGAGACAGAATTGTGTTCAATGACCACAAGAACGTTAAACTTCTGGCTTATCAAATTTGTTCAAGAAGTTTGCGACAAGGATGGCAAGCCATATCCCGGGCGTACAGTATATCAAATTATACGCTCGTTGAAACGACATCTAGACGAAAATGGCCGGGCTGAAGCTAACATATTAAATGCTAACAATCACTGGCAGGTTGAATTTGTTCATTTTTAATTAATGGTTTAGTTTAATTATTTATTGTAATGTGAGCATGTGTATTACTCAGTTTCCAGACGTTCAGAAGAGTGCTGGATAGTGAAATGAAAGGCACCCACCGGGAAGGCGAATCGCTTGCGGAGAATCGTACAAGACGAGAGAAAGAGGCTATTACAGATAATGAAGAAGGTTTGCTGTGGTCAAAAGGGTTGCTGGGAGACAAAACCGGATTAAGAGCATGTGAACACAGACAGTTAAGATTAAGCAACTTTGTCATAGAAAACAACAAAATCTATTATCGAGAAAATATTTCGAAAACTTTTCATGGAGGATTGAAAGATTTAATTAAAGAAGAAACCTAGAATTGTGACTCATTATTGTCACGAGGATGAGGAAAGTGAGCATGAACCATGCCTGGATCAAATGTTTAAGCAGTACATTTCCTTGGTCAGCGAGTTACTGAAAATTAATGAATCATTCTATTTTCGACCGAGCAAAACAACGTATAAATTCGAAAATGCACCAATTGGTATTCATAAGCTTAATTCTATCGTGCCTGTTTTAATGAAAGAAGCTGGCCTTGAGATTAAGACAGCACACTGCCTTCGTGTCACAACAGCAACAAATTTGTTTCGTGCTGGCCATCAAGAAAAATTAATACGTGAACGAACTGGGCATGTTTCTTTTGCTTTATTTACGTATGAGAAACCTAGTAATGATCAAGCAATGGCTGTATCCAAGTGTGTTGGCCCATCTGTATCAAAGGTTGTGTCGCTTGTTGACAACTATTTTAAGCCACCCTCGAAGCCTAAGGAAGACGAAAAGTTTCAAATTTCCGACGAGGAACTTGATAAGTTTTTGAGTGAAGTGGACTGGTCTAAAATTGATAAAGAGGTGCAGCGACGTACTATCGCTGAAAAGTTTGTTTTGTCGAACAGTACATTCACTAAAGGCCGGCGCACACTAGAGCTATGTGCTTAGCAAAATGTCATTCGTGACTGTTGGCGTAAGGAGATAGCTCTCGTGTGCGGGCGATTTACGAACGACTTTTGTCATTCATGCCACTTACGCCAAATATCTAACATGTTTGATAATTTCTGCCTCGCGTGCCAAAATCTTTCCGTGTGCGGCGAACGAAAGCTATCTGCTTACGGATTGTCGTAACAGCGCATGCGTAGTATATGTAATGTAATGTAATGTGTAATGTAATGTAAAACTTTATTTCAATACGCTAACTTCGACAATTATTTACAACTGGTTTCCACGAAGGGCGTATACACACAAAGAGCTAAATGTTAATTATATATAGAACAAAATATGTAAGAATCCCACCCTAAAATATTATCATCTTCCTCCCAAACCTCCCCCCCCTAAACAAGTACCCACCCACCCTCACGCAAAACTAACCCCCCTCCCGCCCACAATCTATATTGTCCTCCCATCATTTGGTCCTGGAGAAATTAGCTTATCATCTGCTCAAATGCAATTTCGCCATTGTTTTAAATGACGTAATTGACTCAGCCGCCTTGACATCTTGCGGCAGACTATTCCATAGAATTGCTCCACTGTATCCAAATGTTTTCTTTAGAAATTCCGTTTTCGGTTTTTTTAACGAGAGATCAGTTTCGCTATTGCGTAAATCATAAATATTCTGCGATGCATTTCTCCGAGAAAAAGATCTTTAAGGTTTGGCGCAGTGTGGTTCCCCAAGACTTTATACATCAATACTAGCTTGTTTTGTTCTCGTCTCCTAGCCAGGGTTTCCCAACCTAATTTGTTTAGGACTTCAGACGATCTTACATCGTAGTCAGCTCCGGTAATCACCCTTGCTGCTCGATTTTGGAATTTTTGCAATTTGTCTTGAAGTCCCAAACCACAGTTATCCCACAGGGAGAACAGTAATCAAAATGAGGCTGAATTAATGTTTTGTAGACATCATGTAAGGTTTTGTGTGGAACATAAGGTTTTATTCTTTTAATTGCTCCTATTCCAGCGCTAATCTTATGGCATACAGAATCAATATGTTTCTCCCAACTTAATTTTTCATCTAGATTTACACCTAGACATTTAAATGTATTGGTTTGTGGGACTGGGATTTTGTTAATCTCAACGGCTCTATTTCCTATTTTATGATTTAGATTATGCGTAGATCCAATAAACATGACTTTTGTTTTTTTCCTATGATATTTTAGTTTGTTTTTAGCAAGCCATTTATGAATACTGGAAAAGTCCATATTCAAATTGTCAATCAA